AGACTGATGAATTCGTTACCACCAACAATGAACCCAGTTTTATGGACCCTGTTGCTATGTCTACTGCTTACCAGAAGATGACATGTCTTTGCATGAACATTAAGAATGAGATATCAACTGATATTGAGATTCACAATCAAAATATACTTCCCAGGTATGTCTTCCCTTTGGCGGTTGTTTGATTTGTTTTAAGCTTGCTCAGAAAGTCAATTTTCATTCATGTGATGGAGCATGGCCAAAAATTTAGCATTAGATGAGATCCATATTTGATTTTAAGGTAAGCATAATGCTGCATTAATTACTTACTATTGTTGGAATAATCCACAATCTTTGAACTGTGATGCAGACAATATGGTCATGGGAATGTTGTGTTATCCTTTGATATGCTTAAAAATGTTTGTGTTTACCATTTTGAATGTAAATTGTTGATATAATATGCCCATTCACTTTGGAGACATCATATCACGTCATACCATCATGCATGTATCAAATTTTCATTAGGCACTAATACAGTTGCTTCCTGTTTTATATGGCTTATAAAACATTAAATTGTCTTCCATCTTTTGCAGTTTTATAGACCTACCAAATCTGTCAGCATCTATATACAGCTCAGAGCTTTGCAGCAGATTACGTGCATTCCTTCTGGCATGCCCACCATCTGGCCCTTCACCACCTGTGGCAGAACTTGTTATTGCAACAGCAGATTTCCAGCGAGATCTTGTCAGCTGGAACATAAGGTAGTTCTTTTGGTAACAATCATTTTTGTATTAATTTTCTTTGCACTATTGCAAACTCATTTATTTTTCTTCCAGTCATGTGAAAGGTGGAGTTGATGCAAAGGAATTGTTCCACTTGTACATCATGATATGGATTCAAGATAAGCGGCAATCTCTACTTGAGTCATGTAAATTAGATAAGGTAAATTCTTTAAGCAACAATCTTATTGCCGATAATTAATATTATGGCAGATTCCTACCATTAAACCAAATTTCCTGCTAGCAACTCCATAAATGTACTGGAGCCTAATTAATTTGAGTCAGGAAGAGCATAACTTTGTCACCATGTCTAAGCATGTGATAACTTCTCTTTATTTATTTTTTTAAATGATTAAAACTGAAATCCTCAAATGAAGACAATTCTAAAACGTTTTGTTGTGGAAGCATCTTGCAGATTTTATCAAACTGGTCTTCGAGAAATTTTTTTTATGTAAAGTTGTCTGAAACTTATCTACTTGCAGGTAAAGTGGTCAGGTGTTAGAACACAACATTCTACAACTCCTTTTGTTGATGAAATGTATGATCGACTGAGGGAGACCTTGAGTGACTATGAAGTCATCATCTGCCGCTGGCCTGAATATATTTTTGTGCTCGAAAATGTATGTCATGCACTCCGATTTTCATTTTCTTGTTTTTCCTTATATTCCACCTTATGCATTAACATGCAACATATGTTACCATGTTGGCTTCAAAAAACTAGCTTGTTTCAGAAAAAGAGATATGGTGAGATTTCTAGCTGCTAGTTATTTATGTTTTGCACTAGTGATCTTCCAATTAATCGACATCAAGAATTGTTTAACCAGATTCCTTTAATAAAAAGTTTGAAGTAAACTTCCACCTATGTTTCTATGCCAGGCTATTTCTGATGTTGAGAAAGCAATAGTGGAAGCTCTGGATAAGCAGTATGCAGATGTAGTGTCTCCTTTGAAGGAAAATTTGGCACCAAAGAAATTTGGCCTTAAGTACATGCAGAAACTTGCTAAACGATCTGTATGCTCCTATACTGTTCCCGATGAGGTAGCCATGGACTTTTTAGTTAACAAGAATTTCCCTTGGATTTGCATACTCTTTTGAGTAATTTTGCTCAAGAATTTGATTGCTGCTTTCAGCTGGGCATCATGTTGAATTCTATGAAGAGGATGCTTGATGTTCTACGACCCAAGATAGAGACCCAGTTTAAGTCATGGGGTTCTTGCATCCCTAATGGTGGAAACACAGCTCCTGGGGAGCGTCTTAGTGAGGTCACAGTGATGTTGAGAACCAAGTTTAGAGGGTACCTGCAGGCTGTTGTTGAAAAACTTGCTGAGAATGTGAGTCTTATTTACGTAAAGGCATAGTGGCTTGTTTCATTTGTCTTGTTTGGTATTTGCAAAAGAAGATAAACTATAGGTTATCATTTTATTGGTACGGCTGACCGGGATATACTGCAGAGTGATATTTCATTGAATGATAAATATGAACTGATTTCGAACACCTCTGAAAACTGAAGAAATAAGCAAAATATCTTAGACTATAACTAAAATTAACTTTGATAGAGATAATTCATTTGTATGGATCTATTCTCTGACTGTTGAGACTGTCTATCCAGTGTATCTTCTTTATGCTGCTGCTTGATGCATTAACAACATAGCTACTTTTATTTTCTGAAGCAGCTATCAGTGTTCCTGTTGGAATTCAATTCCCCTAAAAAGGAAAAAAAAATCACGCAAACACATTGATCTATCATTTTCTTTGCAGATTGTATTAGTCTTCAGTTTTCATTGGAATTTAATTCCCCACCCACCCTTGGCCCCTCTCAGCAAGGAAATAGAAAACCTCATAATCACCTGTTCATTCACACTCATCTTTCATTCTATATGCAGAGTGTCTAAATCAATGTATATTCTCAAGGGTTCCCATTCAATTCAAACATGCTGATCTGTTATTTTATTTGCTGATTGTATCATTCGGTTTTCAATTTTCATTATTCCATATGCAGACTGTATTAGTCAATTATATATACTTTTTTTCCATTCAATCAATTTGAATTTCGAGTGATGTTTTGATTATGCTGTGAAATTGATTTTGTTTTTCTTTTCTTTTTTTTTTCCTTTTCTCCAGACCAAATTACAGAACTCAACAAAATTGAAAAAGATTCTCCAAGATTCTAAAGAAACAGTAGGAGAGTCTGATATAAGAGGCAGAATGCAGCCATTAAAAGAACAGCTGACAAGTTCAATAAATCACCTTCATACTGTTTTTGAGACTCACGTTTTCATTGCAATCTGCCGGTGGTACTGGGATCGGATGGGACAGGTAAGTTATAGGTGAATGATGCTGTAAATGGTTTGAATTTTTGCTATCTAATTTAATAAGTTTGCACATTTTACATGATTTTTTTCTCTCATTGCAGGATGTTCTCAGCTTCTTGGAAAACAGGAAAGAAAATAGATCGTGGTACAAAGGTTCCAGAATTGCTGTATCTGTAAGTAAAAACATAACAATCTTTTGCTTCCTTGCTGAAAATGAGGTCCCAAATTAGTAATTACAATGTTGAACCAATGTTTAACTTACTGAGCTTTGTACCCATTCCAAGCCCTCCATAAAGACTCTTGGGAACCTATTATAAGTTCTTAGAGTGGTTGGACCTGAATGGTATTAAAGGTGTTATTGTAAGTTCCATGCTGAGATACTCGTAGAATATCTCGCAGCTATAGTTTTTTGTCAGTTAACAATTAATTTGGAAGAGACCAGAAGGATGGGGAAGGCTTTTTTCATTTCAGCTAGGGAAGTGTAGCAGTTAGATACGCACATGGTGGTCGTTCTATGCTGATATACTTGATCTTAACCATAATGCACAAACCTCTTCAGGAAGTTACTGCTGTTATTTTATTTATCCAACAGAGGGTGAGGAATCTGGATAGGCCATTATTGACGGTAGCTCAACAGGAAATTACTATCACAACATGAAACTTAGCATCAGTTTAATAACATTGAATTGGTGATGCTGGCAGCATTTTAATGCCAAACATGAAGACTAGGTTACTGTATAAACAAAGGTTACTGTATAAACAATCTAATTACTGAGGCAAGATAGATCGGTTGAAATCTTTCAATATCTGCATGAAATCTAAGAAGGAATCATTCTTCTCTAAAGGCCAATGCAAGGTTTTTTGTAAACATGTCATTATAGGAAAATTTAAGGTATTAAAATCTCAACTAGTTGACCAGATTCTTGGGATATGAAAATTTTGGTGGCTATGGCATTTGTTATTTCATTTCTTGATTTCATCCGTGTTATTCTCAAGACTTCTACTTCAATGCTTGTTGTACTTGCTAGAAGCGACGTCTTTTGTATTTTTGACATTGTACCATGTTATTTAATTTGCAGATACTGGATGATACTTTTGCATCACAGATGCAGCAGCTCGTCGGCAATGCACTCCCAGAAAAGGACCTTGAGCCACCTAGGTCTATCACGGAAGTGCGGTCGATGCTCTGTAAGGATGCTCATAATCACGAGGACAACTCATATTACTACTAGGCACAGTTATTTGGGTAGATATATGAAAGAGCTGCTGGCGCACACACACACACGTTACATCAAAAGCCTTGGAGATAAAAAGTTGCGCCCGAGACGAGATGATCTCCAATGGCCTTTCTGAAAAATAGAGATGACTGAATTTGGTCATCTGCATATGTATATGATTCACTTTTAGGGCAATTAGCCCGTACAATTTTGAAAAGAAGCAAGTGACTCAACTGCTCTTAATTCTCAGGTCTGCACTCATAAATATAAAGAATACTCAGAAAATTTTAACTTAGCCAAACAAAGAAAATCTGAGAAATTAGTGTCATATTTTGTGAAAAATATTACTTTAAGATGACCTTTTATTAGATTTTATCGAAAAATTAGTTTCTAAATTTATTCTTCGGATTAATTGAAACAAGTATGAATACATAAGTTTTTCTTTATTTACATATTCATCTTCAATGCATTTTACCGATCTAACCTATCATTGTCATTGTGATCTTATTTGGTAAGGGACAAATTCAACAAAATTTTATTCTCGACCATTATTTTGAATGATCTAGCGGAGAAAATTAATATTAGATATCCAAATGGTACCTAAACCACTTTTGTATGCCGGTCACAAGCTGCAAAAGCAAGGAAATTAAAAAGGCCGAGTGAGCCGTCACACTGCTGTTGAATTTGAATTGCAATCAGAAATTCTTCAAGGAATATTTACAAAGATAAGATCAATGGATCTGTAGCACGAAAAAGAATGGTATTCATGTTACACAACCCGTGAAACACCAAGCTGCATTTTGACAGCCAGAAAGCATAGACACAACGGTGAATATTACACTTTGTTCTCTAAGTAGCACAAGAAAATCAGAGAAGCTTTGATATAACATGGCAGGAAGTCCAGAAGGCTTTCGAGGCAGCTCTGAGAAGTAGAGGGTTTTGGTATATCCTGTCGAGAACAAAGAAATGAATGTGTCGTATCAACAAAAAGATATACAGTGAAATCAGATTGACAAAATAGGAAGATGCAGCATAATATAGCCAATGCTGACTCTAGCAGCAAACCGAGGAACCAAGAAACACTGGTTTGTCATGATTAAAATTATAACCTACCCAATTGCAGTTGCTCCCCAGGAAGCCACATTATAAATGACTTTACTTCCATCCCATGCTTTTCGAAGCTTTCCTTTTTTCTTTTTTACAGAGAAGGTCTTGCTCAGTGCTACAAAAGAATTCAAAAGAATGTCAGAATTCCAATGCCAATTTAATGGCCAGAAAAATAGAATCAATTATGGAATAAAAGAAATTTGAGATGGAAAATATAAGTTATTCAGTGAAATGGTATCTTAAAATTTTCGTTAATATTTAGGGAGGAATATAATTGGATAAAAAAAACTGACTAATGAAAGCAACCAAGCTCACCTTCCTGAAGTTGATTTGGGGTCAAATCCTGGAAAAGAAAAAATAATAAGCCTTTAGCATCCAGTGCTGAATAATCCATGATGAAATGTTTCGACAGTTTTATTCAGTCTGCCAATAAGTAAGACCACAAAAAAACTGAGGTGGCATTTGATATGAGGTGATCTCTTCAAGATCAAGGGTGATCTAATCACCATGATTAGATTACTGTGTTTGGTTAGTAACTTGTCAATCCTAAGTGGCACTGATCTTAGATCACCAAGAGTAATTAAATCACTTCCTCGTGAGGTGATCTAAATCCCATCCAAAAGGATTGAAAAGTTTTGTCACCCAGGAAGAGTGATCTTCAAAATCATTTTAAGACAAATTTATCCTCAAAGTGGTGCCCACCAAAATATGTTCCTCTCAAATTTTTTAGTTTTTATAAACAAATCTACACTTTTTAATAATTTTATACAAGACAACCCTTAAATGTGAACAAGTTAATAACTTTGAATTATACTCATTAGAACTAGTTCATACCCTACAATTTTCTATAGAACAACAAATTCTCACTTTATAAATTGTTTATTCAATAAAAATTGAAATTGTTACTTTCTTTTAAATAATATTGTTAATAATAAAGTTATTTTCAATGTTTTATACTTCGGTGATCTTTTTTCTCTATGCAATATCAAACACAGTGATTTAAGATCACTAGTGATTTATAATATTACACCAAATGTGGTAATTAGATCACCAAGGTGATTTTAATAGTGATACCAATCGCCTTCACATAAAACAATTCAATTTTCAGGCTTAAGTGTATTATGTGTGAATTGCTCAAAGAGAAAATTGAAGTCCAAAACAATACTAACACCAACAAAGAGCAAGAAATTCACATACCTTAGTCTGTTTAAGCGACAGCAAATATGCAGCCATAAAACATGCAATGCTTTCTACTATATCCTCCTGCCTAACAAGAACATAATCTTCGCAATCTAAATTGACATCTTCATCTTTCCAAAGATCATTTTCATTGACCATGTCCCAAGAACTACCTTCTTCTGGTTCCAAAGAAGAATTTCATTAGCATCCAGGCAACAAAGATCATTTTAAACACAAGAAGAAAGTTCCCTAAATCAACTTCAATATACTGAATAAATATCCTTTTCAATATCTTTGCAATGAGCTGAAATGATATATGCTAACAGTCTAAGGGACCATCTGTGGAAGCATACCAGCAATTTTTTCTGGAACAGGCACCTGAGCACACTCTAGCTTTTCAAGCTTTTCAAGGAAGTCAGAGCATTGAACTCTAGATTTGAGAAGATCATACAACTGCATTTAAAATACAAGGGGCATACACATTAGATATCCAAGTTATTTGGAAATGTTTGATAGGAAAGCAAATGGCAACCTCATCAAGCATTGCAAATTCAGTGAATTTCCTTTCTATCAGGTTGCTAATTCTATAGCATAATCTATGTCAAAAAGCCATTTACATTAAATTAAAAAATATGTTTCACAAATTCAAGGCTTAGAGCATATCAAATCAAGTATAAGGGATCACCATATTTAAGTGGGATTTCAATATTTATTGCCATTAAAAGATGCAGGTCGCCTAGAAATGAGAAATCTATAAAAGTGGAATACAAGATTTATTTTTGATCCATTAAATTTAAAAAACAGGCAACTGCAAAGTGGAATACAGTGAACAACAACAACAAGAACAAACACACTTTTCACATTCCAAAGTGGAATAAAACCATCAGAGGTGAAAAACAATTAATTTCTTTGCTATTCACAACCATCAGCAATTCAACTTCTTGATGAAGAGAAGCTTCCAGTTTTTTCACAAACTTTGGGCTCTGTTTATAAACTTCATTTATCCAATTTGAAATCCTTTTGGATTAGTTCCTGATCTTATATCTTTGAACCCAAATTTCACTTCATGGGATGAATGACATGATGGAAAAGTTTCAATCTCTTCTCTGTATTTCATTCTCACCTATATCTTTTTTCCAGATAAATATATCTAAACATACAATGAAACAAACACAAAAAGAAAGAAGCATTGCAATTGAGATGCCATCAAGGAGACAAAGGCTAAGAGACAAATGGACTCTGAAGCAAAGACCAGAATCAAGACTGAAACAGTTATCATACCATAATCTACAAACTAGCATCAACAATTAAAACCAATACTGGCAAAACTACACACTGTAAGCATGCAGCAGTGAAAGAACGTACTAGATATGCAACTGATGCATCACAAACCAGACAATTATCAAATCAGAACTACAATTTAGCTAGGAGTATATTATAAGTTCAATTGTCTCATTCAAGCTGAGCTCAACTCAGATCCGAATTATTCATCACTCAAAGAAAGAAAAACACAGTCCTCAAATGAACTGCTTAGCTGAGCTGAACCTCTATGAAATTTAAATTTTCAATTTCTTTTCTGAGCATAGAATTCTCCATAACAAGACAATATAAGTTTAAACAAACTAAATCTTCACAAAGAACACAACAAATTCACCAAAATCAAAACCAACTAGTTTTTTACGAGCAAAAAAATGATTATGTAAAATTCTCACGTGGTTTTCCTTCACTTTTCCTCGTTTTTCTTAGCATCCAAACAGAAATCTAAATCCAGAACCAAACCCTAAGAAAAAGAAATAAACAAACCTCATCTGCTTCTTGGTCTGTACGAGAGCTGACTTCCCCTTGAGGATCCACATCATCTTTATCGGCGCCATCATCTTCATCGCCAATTCCACCTTCGTTGTTACTAAGCAATTCGAGAGCTCTCTGGCACTGTACCAGCACAGCTTGCAAAGCCTTCTTCTTAACAAGAACCTGATCTTTCCCTTCCACAACTTTTCCCTTCATCTCCCCAACTCCCATCGCTAACGAGCCGTTGCTCGAACCCTGTACCTCTATCTCCATATCGTCAACCCTAAAACAATCTCAAAATTCCACCTAAGCCCCTCGAATTCAAACCCTAATAAACCAATCAGATTAAATTAAAAAATTTGAAATTCTCGTCCCATAAGGAAATCGAAGGAAGTAAGGTAATTGAATTTTAATTTTTTTCCTTTTAGAATTATTGGTGACGAAGAACGTGTGTTTTTTCCTTTATTGTTATTATTTTTTTTTTTTGGTGGTGAAAAAAAATGAACTAAAAGGGGCGGAGAAGGAGCATATAGCCGCCGTGACAGCTTTGGAGCAGCCGACAAGCTGGATTCTGAGGTCCGTTTTTGGTTTGCGTTTATTTGGGGCTGCGTGCCCGGAGACCACACGGGGGAATTAGAATTTGGTCAATTTAATGAATTAATTAGTTATTAGTTTATATTAAATCTGTCTCTAACTTCAACTAATCTCCGTATTTAATTATTTATGTCTACAATCACGTTTCGTATCGTATTAGTATCTTGATTTGGTGAAAGCTATTCCCTCTTCTCTCCCTTGTCCTGTCGTTCTTGGTTCGATGAAAACGAAAATGCTTTTCAAGGTCGTTCAAATGTTTGGTTCAAATTTGACGGAATTTGGCTATAATTAGTTTCTTTTATGACGAGTTTTGATATTTAAAAGGTATGTTTTTATTTAAATATTGTAAATGGTTGAATTAAATAAAAGATATTGAATCAATTAATACAATTGAAAAATTATAATTCTAAAATTTGATCTTTATAAATAAAAAAATCAAAATTAATTTAAACATACTACATTAAAAAAATAATAATTTATTATTTTTACTCTCTTATTCTCAAATTAAAAGTAAATTTCAAGTTTATCATCAAGGTGGGGTATTATGAAATGAGGAATAAAAAGATTTTTAAAGGATGAGATTTGAAAAAAAGAACGTGGGGATTTTTCATTAAAATTATTGAAATAATTTTTAAAGAATTCGAAAGAAGTTTAAAATGAAATCTAGTTAACATATTTGAAATAATATTAATTTTACTTTTTATATATGCTGTAAAAAAAATACTTTGAGAATCATTAAGAGTAATTATGCATTTGATTTTTTTTTTAATTTAACATATGATCAAATATATCTAATTTTACAAAAAAATAATATCCAATTAAGTGAAATTCAAATATTTCGTTTGTGATTAAAAAATATATTATAAAAAATATTTAATGATTTAATTTATAAAATAAGATGTTATTGTATAAAATTTTATTATATTTTAAAACTATTCGATTTAACTCATATGTACATATCATAATTGTTGATGGCAAAATAAATTAAAAGAATAACATTTACAACAATACAACACACTTTAAAACCACTTGTTTACATTTATTTCCTTATTTTGTATCCACCGCAACTCACGGAATCAACACATTTTAAGGTCAACTTTTTTCTTGCATTAAAAATGATAAAATAACGAGAAAACTCGTGATAAAATAAGTAAAAAAAAAATATATATTTTGATTACGAATAATGCTGCAAAATATGTTCAACAAAAGAAATAGACGAAAAAAATAAGTTGTGAAATGTGTCGTTCCAATACTTTCATTACTACAAACTTTTTTTACAGGATAAAAAAAATGTAAATGGAGTTTGATGAAATATTTAAATTGTATAACTATTATTTAATCAAAATTATAGTAATGTTAGTGATCATGTGATCTGTTCATTATTGACACTCCCTCCATCCCTCTTTTTTTTTTTTCTATATTTTTTTAGGAAGTATCAATTTATTTGTCCCTTATAAAAAATAAAAAATAAAAATACTTAAATTTTCAAATTTATCCGAATTTTTAATATTATTACAAAAAATCTAATAAAATTAAACAGTGTTAAAATTAAACATTTTCACCGTATTTTTTCCTTGTTTCACTTTATTCTTATTCTCAGGCTTTCCTTTTTATTTCCCGAAACTTGAGTAAGACTTTGCGCAAATGGCAATAAATTCAAAATTAGTATCATGAGATTTGATGTAAATGTTGTTGGGTTTTTTTTCGTGTTATGGAAAAAATGAAAAATAGTTAATATTTTTTAATTTTTAATGGTTTTTTATTCTAAAACAGAGGTTATAGTTGCCATAGAAAATGACAATAAGCAAACTTTGCAAACGATGATTTTTATTAGTTTGGTGATGAGCTTAAAGCTTTGCAAAAAATTTTTGCCTTGACACCAAATGTCAAAATTTTATCTTTACTGAAAATAAATAAAAATATTAAAAATAAACTTAAATTTTTTTATTAAAATTTGTGTAAATTTTTAATGGATAATCAATAAGGGACAAAAATAATATAATATTAATTTTTTAGTTTTAATTATTATAATTCAATTTTTTACAAACTTAAAAAAAAAAAAAAAAAAAACTATGAGCATGAATTACAATAAAACTAAAAATTTGAATTGAAAACTATTAGTTTGTGAAATAATATCTTAGTTTTTTTTTTTTATGTGTTTTACACAAAATTAAAAATCAAAACCAATAAAATCATAAAAAGTTGAGTTTAAAACTTCATTAACTCCAACATTAGTTTTTATTTAGTTACTTTTAGTTTGAAACTTCATTAATTATATTTTAGTGAATTTCACCAAAATATTGTCACATACCTTAAATTACACCTCATATATATGTATATATTTTTTTATAAAAAAAATTCAAGATAGATTATTCAATCTTTTAGATCATGATAATATGTATCATATTTAACAATTTGAGACAAATGATTGCAAATTATATATTCGATATGATTTCAATAAATGACTATTAATAAAACTTGAATTCAATATCTTTTCATTAAAAAATATGAAATTTAATAAATTAAATCAATAATTTATTAATATATATATATATATATAGAGAGAGAGAGAGAGAGAGAATGGAACCAAAAGTCCTATGGGTTTTTAAAAGCTCTTTAATTGCTAAATCAAAAAATTGAAGACCCGTTATTATTTCTTCTTTCTCCGATTATCTTCCATCTTTTACGCAAAAAATGGAGGTGGAAAACTTTTTTTTCTTTCTTTACTTGTCATTTTCCTTTGACAATAATTCCCTTCTTTTCGTTTTATTTCCATTGAGTAATAATTAGTTAATAAAGCGGAGTTTTTTTTTTTTTTTTTTTGTAAAATTATAAACTACCAGACACATATAAGATAGATCTATCAAAAAATGGAGATATCTTTCAAAATCTGAAAGCTTAAGAGGTATTAGACAAAAATATTAAATCCATCAAATGGATTTATGCAAAAGAATAAGATCTGCTTGAAAAATGGGTTGGATTTTGACTGTAGCATTCAATACTTGAGTTTGACCCAACTCAATCATTTTTAATTATAATATATATTATTTTTATACTTATATTATGTAATTTATATTATGTACAAGTTAAATATATATAATATTAGTGTACAAATTTAAAAAATATGCTTAGTATATATTTTAAAACTTAATCAAAGAAAAAACAAAATTACTAAAGGATAAATAAAAAATAACGTATTTTAAATGTAAAAAAAAAAAAAAATTGGACAGATTTGATATGAAAACTCGGACAATATCATTGATAAATTTAATTGCACTTAAATAAAATTTGATGTTTGAATTATCAGACTAAACTAAACTTTGACAAATATGTATAATGTTGAATATTAAAACCATGCCTAATCTCAACCTGAATAAAATATGATCTTACCCATAGACACATGTAGTAGGAATTTTGGATGTTCGAGGATAAAGGAAAATGCTAGCAAGTCCTTCCCAAGTCTAAAACACGTAGCTCATTGAACACTTTTTTTATTAAATTATGTTTTATTAATAAATTTATTTATATTAACTTTAACAAATTTATAAACAATTATATTTTTGTAAAATTTCACTGAGACAGTAGAAAATAATAAAAATATAAAGCATATGACTTTTTTTTGAAGTATATAAAGCATCTGACTTAAATAATAAAATATATTATTTTTTGAATGAAAAGAAATGTAGTAACATGTAAGATTTTTTCAAAAGCATGTATATATAAATATAAATATATAATGCTCAACTTTAGAGCTAAGTCAATAATGCTCTGATATTTCTTGCCCCATAATTCGGGTTGTACTTTTTGTTTTTAACGGTTGCAATGGACCCCACAAGAGATCAGAGCAACCGAGCAACCGTGATCATTTCCGTAAATCAGCTGGGCCTCTGGCTGTGGGCCCAACCTGTGAATTCACGGGCAAAAATAAAAAACAGTGAAAAAAGGGGAAAATTACCGCCAGTGCCATTTCCCTCCAAACACAATTATTTCCGGAAGAAGAAAAAAAGAAAGAGCCAAAGAATAGGGGTGACGTGTACAACGCCTTCCTTCTGTTTCGGAGGGAGCTCTTTTAGGCTTTTCCTTTGTTTGACCAAACAGGTTTCCGTTGAGCAAAAATTCCGAGCCAAAACACTCTTGCACAAACAAAGAAAGAAAAGAAAAAAAAAAAAATCTCTCTGTTCTCACCTTTACGCTTCTTGCTTTATCTCCTTTTTCTTTTCTTCTACATTTTCCTTTTACTGGTTTTCCACCAAGTACGTTTCAAATTCAGTGAAAGTTTTTTTGCTTTGACTTTTTTTTTTGAAATTTTGGTGTTATTTTGTTTTAAGTTTGAGTTTTGTAATTGTTTTTTCTTGTTTATATGTTTTGAATGAACGGCATTATTGATGCTTGCAGGTTGGTGCAGAGGATTCTTTGAAAATTGTGATCTGTTTGGATGTGATTTTTTGATTCTGAGTGAACAGAGGATTATGGCTACAAAAAAGGATGAACCATCTCAGACACAACAGGTTTTGAATTTTGATTGTTTTTGTTTGCTTGATTTTTTTCCTTTTTCTTTTGTTAATTTTCTAGTTTGTTTATAAAGGCTTTGATGTTCACAAGAAAAAAAAAAGAGAGAACCATATTTTGTGTTTCTGAGGGAGATTTTACGTTAATTTTTTTATTTTGTGATCAGAAAATGCCTAGCAAAAAGGAAGAGCCGTCTCAAACACAACAGGTTTTGATCAGTTTCTTTTTTTTTTTTTTTTTCTGTTCGTTTTCAGAAGATTTGTGATGTTCAAAAAATAGAAAAAAGGAAAAACTACATTGCGATTTAATGGAGATTTTTTGTTTTTATCAGAAAATGCCTAGCAAAAAGGAAGAACCATCTCAAGCACAACATGTACGTTATTTTTCGTTTAACCTTTCTTTTTTGTTTACATCATAGTTTTCATGGAAATTTTGAACTGAAAATTATTTCTGTTTTGTTTCTGATTTGTTTGCGCTGTAATTTTGTTAGCAGAGGATGGCTTCCAAAAAGGAAGAGCCCTCTCAAGGACATCAGGTGTAGATCAATCTTTTTTCTTTTCTGATTCTTTTTTTTTTTAATTTTTAAGGAAAGCATTTGAACCATCAGGGAAAAGAAAACCTAAATTCTGATTTTTAAAGGAAACCATTTTGTTTTCTCTAAAGGGAGAAGCAGCTGCTGCTCCAGGTCCACCCGCTCCACCACCAGGTCCACCGGATCATCTGCATTCTCGAACTGGCAACTCGGTAAACTGTTCTCTCTCTCTCTCTCTCTCTCCAGTCTCCCCCACAAATTGTTATTTACTATTCTGAATTTGAATTGTTGGTTAAAAATTGCACGTGACCATTCATTCCCTAAGTTACCCTGCAGTCATCTTTATAATCATCGAGTACGTGTTTGCAATCATCTGTGTCTACTACTTGTCTACATCTTAAGTGCTTGGGATTTCAACTAAAAGTTTTGAGCCATTTCATGGAAAGATTGCCTACATAGCAGTTATTCTCTTTTGATATTATCAAGCATATTGTAGTTGTTAGTTGTTACCAACCATATTAAGTTTAATCCTAGACTCTTAAGTGACCATGACAAATTTCGATGCAAGAGAATGAATTCTGTTCTGTATTTTAAGTCCATTGCTAGATTTTACCATCTTGAGATCATTGCTTACATTATCTTGCATTCCCTGTTCATAAGCATGCAATTTACAAAGTTGTGAATGTTAGAGCATTTTAAGGTTGAAAACTTTCTTGCAGGTTTTAAAGAGCGGGTCACTTTTTTTATCGTCCAAAGGTTTGTTTACTTTATTTGGTTTTATTACCCTTTGCAATTTAATTCAGTTACTCATTTGCCTTTCACCTTATGTTTTGTGAAGCACATCCTCCGCTTACATTTTACTAGAAAAATATGCATTATGAGGCTTATGTTTAAAAATCATAGTCCCAGGATAATGCTTGGATTCCTCCGGGTTATTTTTATCCCCTTTTTCCCCTATTTTTCTTTGTTTGAAGGAATTGGATGGACATCATGGAAGAAAAGGTGGTTTATTTTGACACATACTTCGCTGGTTTTCTTCAGAAGCGATCCTGTAAGTACTTGCAATTTGGCAGATTGTCAGTCTCAATATGGATGTATGTGCTTGTTTATCCGTTTTATACACCTCTGTTCCTGAACAACTGAATGATCATAAAGAAACATTAAAGTGATACGAGGTCAAACGATGTGGTGCTGTTTTTCTGACTTACTAGATTTTAAGATCCGCATGGTCAGGGGTGATGCTAATTTGATATGATAACCTTTTATGTGCACTAACTCTCTTTCAGTCAAAAAGATGAATGAAAATGAAACTTTTGTGTCTATCACGCAGCAGGTCTTTTCATTGGTTTTACAGTTTTAGTTGTCTTTGGATAGACTAAATAAGAATATCAGGGAATTGTCATGCTACATTAAGCGTCAGGAAATTGGGAAACATGACCTAAATATTAAGTCATTAGTGCGGCTCTAAATTCATGAAATTTACTTATCAAGGAGAAATGAATCTAATCTAGAGGGACCACTTAGCAATTTGTACGGGTGTACATTTTTAGTATAGTAGAAATTGTTGTTGCCAAGGAGGGGAGTCTTAGTGCAACGGTAAAGTTGTTGTCATGTGATTTGGAGGTTATGGGTTTGAATCACAGAAACAGCGTTTTGTGAAAATGCAAAACAATATTGTGTACATTAGACCTAAAGGGTTCGACCTTTTTCCGGACGGGAGCTTTACGCACGGCTGCCCATTTTAGAAATTGTTGTTACTAAACACTTATTAATTTTATAACTATTGTACTACCGTTTGGTATATTTATTCAGCAATTCTTCTTTGGTTCTCCAGCAGAGTGACCCTAAAAATGAAAGACGGAAATTCATTAGATAGGTTCTTCCGATTTATAACTGGGTTAAACTTTACTTAGATGCACTATAACACATATGGGTCCTCTTCTACAGGGTGTGATGTTCGAGAGCTTCATCTCGAAGAATAATATAGAAAAATGATTTAACTTGAGGAAAGGACTTTGGTTTGAATATTGGGGTAACTCCAGTATGCAGTCTCTGAGGCAAAAGTAAAAAATTTAGATGGGCTGATATTTATTGGTTTGATGTTATTATTATCCTTATCATATCTTGTTCTCTTCCTTCCACATTCCATGCACTAGCTCATTTTTTTTTCTCTTACTGCATTTTGTATAATTGTGGTTATAGAAGATTAATTACTGTTGTTTTACATATCAGAATGCCGTTTCTCAGAAGGGGAATGAAGTGAATTTAACTCTTGGCGGTATTGATCTCAACAATTCAGGCAGGTTGGCTTGCTTTTTTGAATAGATTATTAATTCTTGATCTCTTGTTTAAGTTGCACATATCATGAAAGTTGGAAGCCTTTACTAAGCCGTGGTACCATTCAAAAATTCTAGCGTGGTTGTCAAAGCTGATAAAAAACTCATAACTGTACTTTTTCAAGATGGCCGCGATGGACGAACCTTCACACTCAAGGTGCTTCCTCCCATTCTCCATCTATAAGTTCTCCTCTGATTACCTCTTTTTACTGTTTTGGATCACAATTTTTCTAAGCTGTTTAGTTGAGTAAGTTTTCAGATTTATGACTCTTAGATAGTATTTGGTATTGAGTGATCATTCCAAAAATCACGGTGATCTATATATAGTAATTAAATCACTGTATTTAAAAAGCACTAGGTGATTTTATGAGTGGTGATCTTAGATCATGGCAAGTGATCATATCATTGTTTTGAAAGGTAACCTAATTTCCATACAAATGGATGAAAAATCTTTTATTACCAAGATGAAGTGATATAAAATTAACAGTAATCAATATTATTCATTTAATATATGAATTAAAAATTTATTTTCTCTTAAAATTGTAATTATTTTATATTATAATTTTTTATATTTTCAAATTAATATTTATTATAACAAATTTAAAAATAATTTGTATTTTTTTATTTTTTAAACATTTTATATAATTTTTTATTTTATTATAAATTTAATATATTATATTTATTTTTTAATTCAAATATTTTTTACATAATTTATATTAAAAAATTAATTTACCTATCAATAAATATAATTATTAATTTAATGATTTAATTATCTTTTATTATAAAATAAATAAAATATTACTAATATTTCACAAACTATTATCTTTATTTAATATTAAAATTATTAGTTTGTGTAATTATTACAATATGTATGGTTATTTTTATACTTTTAAACAGAATAATGTTTGATTTTTAGTAATATCAAATACATTGATCTTTAATTCTTAAGATATAATGATTATTAATCAAATAAAATGATTTCAAATTAGAAGTGATAAAATCATTTTGGTAATAAAATCACCTCATAGATTACATTACCATAATAATCTTACAAAAATATCAAATTTCTCCTTAGTTTATGTCCCTTAACTTGATAAATAGTTGAGAACTTTCTGTCTGAACTGCATTAAATATCAAGATTCTACCAAAACAGTAAAAGATCTTCCTCATATCTAAAGATGACTAAATGAATATATCCAAGATTGAGCTTTAATGAAAAGCTGAAGACCCTGTTATTGAGCTACCGACACCTGTGGGTTGCCAGAATGCCCTGAACATGAAAATTTCATCTATAGAAGTTTTATTCAAGTCGGTCATTCTATACGCTGCTAATAGCATTCTTTTATCCTGTGAAATCTATTATTAAGAACTTTTTTGGCCACATCACTGGTTTTGAAGGCAGAAATGCAGGAAAAAAAAAAGCACTAATTATGTGTCAATCTGATGTTATGGGAGAATTTGATGCTTAATCAAATGGAAAAACAATGAGATGTTGCGAAAATCAGATGACATTATGATATTTTTTTGTTGGTGAGCCAGGCTGAAACTTTGGAGGATTTGTATGAGTGGAAGGCTGCACTTGAAAATGCTTTGTCACAAGCACCATGTTCTGCTCATGTGATGGGACAAAATGGCGTCTTCGGGAATGATCAAGGAGATGCGGTCGAATGTTCTAAGGAACCAGGTAAGGTTGAGCCATGTTTTTTGAGTTTTGTGTAACTTTATCCTAGTATATGTGCTGGGGCTTCGTTCGTATCTAGACTCCTAATTTAAACTCCAGAAATAATGCATGATCTATAAGTTCTTTTGTACAATGTAACAAAATCAGAAAAATTAAAAAATGTTACAATTGGGAACCTTAGTTGTCAGTTCCTCCTATTTTTGTTTCACCGTGCCCTCCTTTGTTCACTCTGTTATGTTTTTTTCCAAGCCTGTCAAGTTGTTTCTTGAATGTACCAAGTTTCTAATTTGGTTGGCTGCTTTGATTTATTTTTCCTCTCATATACGGATGCTCTTCTTTCTCTTTGTCAGTAAATGATAAACAGCCCGTGAGATCTACAGTTGTAGGCAGACCAATTTTACTTGCACTAGAAGATGTTGACGGAGCTCCAACATTTTTGGAGAAGGCCCTAAGATTTGTAGAAGAGCATGGTAAGTTTTCTTCTGCATTAATTGTTGCAATATCATTTAAGTAGTATGCTAAAGTTCTAATTCCATATACCGGGTAACTGTCTAATGCCTATGTAATCTAGTGAATATATGTGCATGTGTGTTCTTATTCATTTACCTTTCTTGAGTAATACCCGTATTCCAGACAATCTTCCTGCACCACTGCATGTGTCTAAAATTTTCTTTATCTTTGTTTCAAGAATTTTCCTCATTGTTTACAATTTTAGTTGCCTTAGAGGCTGTGGCTATGATGTTACTGTTCAGTGGTTTAAGTCATATGGCACAGAACTGTTATTCATATTCTTTAAGCTACTTTTGATCATGTTAAAATAATTTAATAGGAATCAAAGTAGAAGGGATCCTACGACAAGCTGCAGATGTAGAAGATGTTGAGCGCCGAATTCGGGAATATGAACAGGGTTTGTTCGGACACTCTGTCCTAGACTTTATTCTATATTCTGGTTTTATTTTTTACATTGATCACAGCTACAGGAGGTTGTGTTCGCTTCTTACAATTTCTTTGAATTTACACATTCAATATTTAATGTTTGGCTGTAGACAATTCTATCAAGGGTAACTTTAAATTTGAATTGATATTCGTGTAAGGAAGATTCTTTGCTTGTTGAATAGAATAGAGCAAGAAGCCAAAGCTACTTTATAATCTTGTAGTTCTACATAAAAATACTTTGTGTTCAGCCTTCTTCTAACTCTTTTGGATCATGCTTTTTTGTGCAGGAAAAAGTGAGTTTTCTCCTGAGGAGGATCCACATGTTATTGCTGATTGTGTCAAGGTATTCCTTTTAGTTTCCACAAGATTCTTTCATTTAAGTTGCAGCGTATAGTAATCCTGGTACTTCGTTTTTTAATTTCTTTTGTGCCATTTTCCAGTATGTCATTCGGGAGTTGCCATCATCTCCTGTCCCTGCATCATGCTGCAATGCGCTACTAGAAGCATGCCGTAAGTCTTTCATTGAAGTGTTTTTTGTTTTTGCTATCTTACCCACTAATAAATTGATTTCATAATTTGCTTCACTGCAACTGAATTCTTGATGCCTCTAATTTTAAAGGGAAGTATGTGTTGGATAATCCCTATTGGAGTTAAATATGCTGTTTATTATTCATTACTCTAAAGAAAAAGTAGGAATTTCATGTGCTGGATTCTTGTTTTAAGCAACCATCGGGTGAAGTTCTTGTATGCTCAATTGGTTGGCTTCCAAAGGGATGTAGTGGAAATTGTCCAGTTGAATATCTTTGAGCACCATCATTTCACTTTGGATGATTTACTTATCTTTATGATTTTTTAAGATTTGCTTCTGTTGTTATTATGTTATTGGACATCATAAAATAATTAGGAACTGAGCGCGGTGCTAGAGTCAATGCTATGCGTATGGCAGTATTGGAGACGTTTCCTGAGCCAAACCGTCGCTTATTACAGAGGTAGTTGATTCATCAATTCAGTCTTGTCCCTTTTAAGTACTACGCATTTCTTAGTATAGGTTTATTTCCTGAGCATTATGGATATATTAAAAAAAGAGCTGTTATTCCATATGGTGGTTAATATAAGAGTATTTTTTATTGTGGATTTAAATGATATGTGAAGAATGTAGATATGCTGCTGTTGTTTAAAATTATGCAATTAATTTTGTCTTTCCTACAATACAATTATTATTTTTTTTATCAAAATATAAGCAAAAGAATTACAAAGATCAGGTACTATTAAACAGTCCATGCATGTATAAAATTACAAAACCACATTAAAAATAACTCATAATTGAAAATACATATAGAATGACAAGTGTTGTGAAAATAAATGTCAAAAAGGGTTGTTGTCTTTACAGAAGTTTCACACCTATTAAGGCAATTCTGTACTGAGTATAGATAGATATTAGCAATAATTTTTCTTTGTTGGCATTTGGTTAACTGGATTCATTTCGAAAGTCATAAGTCAGTTACATTTACATTGTTTCTTTTTGGATTTCTTGACATTCAGTTACAATTCTTGATTTGTCTTGGAAAGGGGGTGGGGGGTTCAAATTCTTCTTTTCTTTTCATTGTAATTGCAATTCATATTTTCTTGAGAAAATTTTTATGTGATTTGTTTGGGTCCATGATAATCTTCAGCCAAACTTGTTGATTAACCACAGATTCTTGTTGCTATAACAAGTTTTAGGTTGAGCAAACCTTCTGATATATGTGTTGCTCCTTGCAAAATGGGTGAGTAATATCTTGTAATATTGCAAATTGGAAGTCATATCTTGTAGAAGACATAACTATATAAACTACAATGAATAATCCTAGCACACCAGAACTTGTTGAATGATGTAACATTGTTCACTCAAAAAGCAAGAATAAATCTCTTAATTTTCTATTAGTTTTCAGCACTATGTTGATTATTGTTGAAAAATTGTGAGTGAAATGCCTTCAGAATCTTTTCTCATCACCACTGGCATTTTGGAAAAAAATTGGGATTTGATCTTCCTTCCACAATTAAAATATCACCCTCATTCTTTGCCATCTTGGCTTCTACTTACCTTTATCCTTAATTATCTTTTCTTGTTCCTTTCTTTCAGAATTCTAATGATGATGCAAACTGTGGCTTCTAATAAAACTGAAAATCTGATGAGCTCTTCAGCTGTGGCGGCATGCATGGCACCCTTGCTTCTCCGCCCCCTTCTAGCTGGTGACTGTGAGATTGAAAATGATTTTGATGTGGGTGGTGATGGTTCAATTCAACTGCTGCAAGCAGCTGCTGCAGCCAATCATGCTCAAGCCATTGTTATAACGTTATTGGAGGAATATGATAAAATATTTGGGGTAAGATGTAATCATTCTCTTCTTTTTCACAACTGCTTCTGATATGGCTTTCTGTAGTCAATGTATAGACAAGTATGTACCCCATAAAATTATGAGCAGTAAGGCTTTATCTTTAGTTCACAGTCAATACGTTTTATTTTCTATTTGTTCCTTTTGAGCAAACATGATCATTAAGTCAAAAATCGTTTGTGTTGTCACGGTGTGTATGTGCTATTATTGGTACAGAATCTAAAGTGACTAGATTATGACTGTCTAATGGTGGAATTTGAATACAGTTAAGCTGAGTCATTATATCCTCTCATAGAACTGTCTGTACTGTGTTCTTGTCCTTATTTATGCAGCAATTACCTTACATTCCTTCCTTACAATGCAAGAAAATAAATGTGGGAGCCATCATTGCGGAGCTAATTGAATATTTATGTCTTCTATAATTTTAATATTCTTAAAAACATAAAAAAGATAAGAGATTGGCTGTTATTTTTCCTTATTCCAATTTTTATTACTTTTTTGGATTTGGTTTTTACATTGCGATTATGAGCTCAGCATTTTGTTCGCAGGAAGGTTCTGTTTCCCCTGATTTATACTCTGACACGGAAGAGAGTGGAAGTGAAAGTGAAGAGGCAACTGATGATGATGAGTCCTATGAAGATGATGAAGATTATGAAGATGATGAATGTGATGATGCAACACGAGGGTCTGATGCATCCAATGATGATGACTATGTGGCAAGTGGAACAGGCAGCTATAGTGGTCACTCTGTGAACAATGGTCTACATGATGATAAGGCTTGTTCCTCTACTTTCTTACATTGTCATTTACATTTTCATATTTTGTTCATAAACTTTAAAATAACGGCAGTAACAAGCTTATACAAATTTTGGAGCAGTTAAACTCTTCTCCAAATTTCATTTACCTCTCTTTGATACATAAAATAAACTAAGCTCGTAGGTTACCAGATTTATTTGCTCATTCTACATCTTGTTAATGATGTTGTAGCTTGTATATCTGCTCCCTTTGTCACCATATGGCTACTCAAGGTTTCTATTGTCTCCATGTCATTGTTTGCTTTCCCCTTAGAATTTATGCTCCTAATATGAACTTGACTTACTGCTGAGCAAAATGTATTCTAAATTAACTTTGCAGCATCATATATCAGAATCAGATGTATATATTTTTCTCACTCTTTCCCTTATTGGACTCATTGTTTCTTCTGCTTTGTATTTTTGATTGGTAAATGGCAGCTTGTTTTCATGTAGCCATATGCTGTTACATTCTGTGGTCCCTGAATTTCAATTTTGAATATTGTTTTTGTTTAACTTAAAAAGGCATAAAGAGAAATAAATTAGTAATAAAAAGATGATGTACACTTAACATGAACTGAAAATAAAATTGCAGGATTCTGATTATTTGAGCTCAGGTTCTGAGTCCTCTGAAGCTGTTGATAATTTAAAAGCCACCAAGAAGTTGTCAAGTTCACTTCACTCTTCACTGTCTGAAAATGATGATTCAGAAAGGAGTGAGGATAATCAGAGTAGCAATAGTTCAGCAATAGAGACCAATAAGGTTGCTGAGCTGTCAAAAGGTGTTCAAGGAGTAACCAAGTTGGAGGATGAGTTAACTCATCACAATCAAATGTCATGCGTCCCAAAATCTACATTTATTGGAAATGGACCTGGCCACAACGTTAGGCGACCCACTGTTTGGGGACGTACTGCTGTAAGTGTTTGTTTTCTGCATTTATAATGTGTTCTGCTTTTGGCCTAGTTCATTTAACTTTCTCCCTTTTTTCGGCCAGTGCTTTCTATCTTAGCTAATAAGTATTTCAAAGAATGCATTCTAGCTGTAGCAAGTTAGGTTATATCATTAACTTACAATTGCTCAAGTTGGTCTGTGTTTTATAATCTTGTAGTAACTAATTATTTAATTTATCTGGTTTGCTTTCCAGGCAAGGAAGAACCTTTCTATGGAATCCATTGATTTTCCATGTGAAGAAGAGTAAGTGATGTTCCCTTGATCTGTATAAAGAAACTTTGTATAAATTTGCCTGCTACTAGTTTTCCTGGTTATTCTTGCATATAGCCTAGAGTGACCCAATGCCCACTAGAAGGTCCAAGAACCTTTTAAAGTCTTCTTCCACGCTTAGGATGAAGGAAACATAATTTTTGAAGCCAAAAGGGAAAAAGCAAAAACAATATAGAGTCAGACCTTTCTATATTATTGATAATAACTCTATTTTCTTTTTTACTTACCTAATTTTGACCCAATTTTAGTTACAAGCACCTTTTAAAGTCTTCTTTCACGCTTAGGATGAAGGAAACATATGTTTTGAAGCCAAAATGGACAAAGCAAAAATAATATAGAGTCAGACCTTTCTATATTATTGATAATAGCTCTATTTTCTTTTCTACTTACCTAATTTTGACCCAATTTTAGGGCTGAACTTGAGACACTTGAGGCTGAAAACTCTAACTTGCAAAAGAGACTCACAGAAGAGGTTATGCTAAATCCACCTTTCTAATGATTGTTATCTCAACTTGTTTGGAGACTTTTCATAACAATTTATCTTTCTAATATAGATTGAAGGTAATGCCATTCTTGAAGCTAGCTTGGAAAAACGAAAGAAGACATTGTATGGGCGTCGTCTAGCTCTTGAGAAAGATGTATGTTTTGTCAGATTTTTTTTTTTTTTTTCATTTCTTTTTCTACTGTCATTTCTGTTAATGCATTATGTTAGGTCATGTATCTATAGCAACAGAGATGCATATTGTAATGTTGAAAAAAGAAAACAATTTATTAAAGGCAACGTATTTGCTTAATATTTTTAAAAGTTAGTTAGAGATCTATTTATGCATTTCTTTCTTCCCTCTTCAATATCAATTCTTTTGCAAATGGCATAGCTAAAACAATTCCAAATTTAGGTGATGAGAAGTATATAAGTGCATCATTGTTCATTTTGGTCCTTTTTGTTACTGTAAAAACTCCTATTCATAAGATAAAATCCTTGTGGAATTGGTTGTTCTTATTAACTGTTTTTTTTGGCATGGTAAGCAACTTTTTCCATTTCCCTAGCAGAAAGAGTTTTGGGTTGAATATCAGCAGTAAGTAGATGGCAAGGGTTTTTTTTAACAAAGTGCACAAAAATACATCTAGAGTGAACAATTATATGTTTGCTGGAAACATACATTTGTAATATGAAAAAAAAATCCTTTTTTGTTAATGTATGGAATTTAACATTTGTATTTGCATATGTATGTTATTCATTAGTTAGCTGCACAAAGCTAATGGTTTTTATCTCCAATACTGTGTCAGTTTTATGGGAATGGCCCAGTCTTGATCGTTCCTCTTTGTTGTACTTATAGGTAGCAAGATTAGAGGAAGAGTTGCAAAGGGAGAGAGATAAGAGGGCAGCTTTAGAAGCAGGACTTAACTCATCACAAGGACCCATTTTTTTCCCAGCTACGATTGATGAAAAGGTAGCCAATGGCCTACCTTAGATTTAACTAGCGTACCTAATATTTATTTTGCATCAAATTTTAACTTGTAAATATGATAAAGATAAAGGCAGATCTCAAGGACATAGCTCAAGCAGAGGTAGACATAATCAATTTGAACAAAAAGGTTGATGATCTGGGGATGCAGCTTAATCAACAGCTTGAGCGAAGTTCTTTTTCCATGAATGATTTGTGCAATCAACATCTACAAAATCATCAAGCAAAAACGTAAGCTTTCAGTTGGTTCTCTATCGCACTGTCATATTTTATTGGATATTTGTTACAAAACATTTCTTTACTTTGTCTCTTTGTGAGAGTTGGATACATGTCATCCTTGTAGTGATTCAAATTGTTTAAAGTAAAATACATATGGAGTTGTTTGGCAACTGCTAAATTGCCAATAATTCATGCTTCATCCTCTTTAGATTTATATTTGACTTATATTTTTTTATCTATCCCCATTCTCATCACTTTTATGAACTTGATTTATCTATGTACATGTTTGTTTTACTCTTAATACAGGAAGGATAAGCCAAAGGGTAATGAAGCTGCTTTCGAAAGGTCAGGAAGCAAGGTAAACTCACATTTATTTGAGGCATCATGAGCCCTGAAGTAGTCTAATTTCCTAGAAACTGAATGGAATTGGTTCCTATTGTTTACTTTGATAACTGCAGCTTATTTTCTTTGAAATCCAAACCTCTACCTATTTCTTGAATTTTTGAAGTGTTTGCATTTGTTAGTATGGAAATAGTATCAGTTAGCAGATTCAATTTTCCTGAAAGTCATTTGAAGATAAATTCCAATGAATGATCAAATGGCTATTAAGCCACTGCTCTTTCAGTGCATAGACCTAAATGGTTGTTGTATATTGATGTATGGAGATTCCTGATCAGACAGGCTCTGAAGGATCTCATCAATTTTCCTTTTTCCTGATGAAGAACTTTATGGCTGAATTTCATATTATCTTCTGCTTCATAGTAATACATTTCTTTTTTGAGTTGTGAACTCTAACGCAACAGAGATTTTTATTTATAAAGACACTATTTCATGAAATGATGATCTGAAAAGCTGTAATTTGAGCATTAGCTCTCCAAGCTTGGCTTGATTTAAAAACATTATGGCACTTTCTCCTCGCTTTCTCTCTTCCTCTTTTTATTTTTGGTTATTTTTCAATGGTGAGGTTAGCATGTTTAGCATTTGCTTTAAATATAAGCTGAACTTGAACTTGTTGAGGAGCATTACTGCTAGTCACAAGACCTTTACTATGCAAATTAGCAGCTATAAGATCATTATCGCTTTGCATCACTTATTCCTACCATTTCTATGAAATGTTTCTTTAAGTTTTCTGTTGGTAACTTATTCAGGACAATGCATTTACACTGGTTTATCAAGTGATATCATCAAATTATGCCTCATACTTCGAGGCTTGCCTTTTTAAACTTTCTAGTTTAGACTTAAGCTTGTGCTATATTTAAGATAATGAATAGTCGTAATGTAGTCCCTTAGGCCGCTGTGACCTATACCTGGAGTCACAGCTCCCCGTTATGTGGGAATTTGTTTTAAATGGAATTCTCTGAACTAAGACTCTGATTCAGCAGGACAAGTATCTGGACGAGGCAGGGTGTGAGAAAAGGAAGAAGCAAGAATCATCTTCAGCAAATAAACACCCACTTCAAAATCAACAGTCAGATCATTCAGTATATAACAGCAACCGTATGACTGCAACAGAGACATTTTCACAGAAGCCCCTTGGTTCAAGTAATTCCAAGAAGTCAGCTACCAAGGGTGAGGTATGTTTTATCCTATTTAACACGACATCAATTGTATCAAACTGTAATGCAGTTATCCAAAGTTTCTGATTCAAGATAAAATTACCGTTTTCTTCATCTTAGTGAACATATTTGTTTTATCATTCTGTGATAGCTTGCCCTCATACTTCTTTCTATGCATATTTGGTTATAATTGGCATCGATTTTTAGTGTTTCATGAAAAACTAAAACTGTCGTCCAGGGAGCCAATTCCACATCGTCAGCACTGTCAAAACTAACAACTCGGCTCAACTTTCTGAAGGAGCGGCGAAGCCAGATTGCAAATGAAATCCTAGGCATGGAGAAAGGCCGTAGTTCAAGTCAAGCTGTCCCAAGCCCAGGTAAAGGCAAAGGACCAGAACCTATTCAATCTGTTCAAAACCCAGAAAAAGGTAGAGGACCAGACATTAGCCAATAACTCTGGATTCCAAACAAGTGGTTGGATAAGAAGGCCAAACAGTTCCACAGTCGAAAAAAATTAGGAAATCAGATAACCGAACCAATTGGACACCAATAAACCTATTTTCAGGACAGGCGATGATCTGAATGCCATGGTGTGCTGCAGTTCAGACAAAGCTCAAGGATTAGAAGTTCAGTCTCTTTCTAGCCCAAGGACTTGTTATATGATCTCTCGATCATTGTTTCCGCATGCGACATTGCTTATATCGGTGCTTTGAGTATGGGGAATGTTTACTAGAGAGGGATGCTAGGCGACTGATTTTGATGCCCACACTAAAGAGGAGAGGCCGATATCCTTTTAATCCAAGATGTACATATCAACCGGTATGTCCTTAGATGTAAGCTGAATAATTTAAAATCTTAGGTGACTGATTGTTTGTTGTCTGAGAAACCAAGTAGGATTGTATAGCAACTACGTGCTTTCGTTTTCTATGGGTTAATGCAACTTTTAATTTAAGATTTCTGGGCTTATATTGATATGAGCTCGACGTACGGCGAGCCTTGGATCGAGCCTCTTATAGATTGAGCCTTAAGTCAAGGGAGAGGTGAAGTCTCAACTTTTGACCTGAATCCATCACTTTTATGCCGTTCTTTCTAATGAATTAATCACCATTTGATAAAATACTTTCTCAATGCACATCATTTTCGGTCAGTTTCTCATCTTCACCATTCTCTTGGTAATGAGTGAATCTCGATGTGTGGCCAATTGGCTACAGCTTCAACCATTAAATTTCTGCAAAATTGAGGCTGAGAGACTCAAATATCTTTGCTGAATGCGAAAGCTAAAGATCCAAAGCCAGAAAATTTTTTCATGGATATAAATAGGGCCAGTTCTCGACTAAGACAACTTTCCCACAGAGGTGGAGAATATTGTATTGATTGTGTTAAATATATATAAAATATGGAAAATTTTTGTTTCAAATTCGTATCCTCAAATATGTATAAAACACTAAAAACTTTTATGTTGACTTATTTATACATTAAATCCAAATATAAATTTTAAAATTTTAAAGCATATCTCTCTTAATTAATTTTTTTTTTTTATATATTTCGTAATGCACAGTTGTTTAACCATCATTCAGAAAATTTTAGCAAAAACACAATTTATCAAATAAGCCAAACATTTCCAATCTAATTTATCATCATCATCAAGAAGCTTTAATCAATTAATCAAAATTCCTGAAGCAGCTTCCTAGCTTGCTCCAACGTCACAAACAAAACCACCGTAAACGGCCCTTGCCTTGAAACCGTCGGCAAAAACCCTTTATAAAGAGCCTTAAACCCTTCTCTTCTCACCGTCTTCATTAAACAATCACCCACCCCATTATAAAGAGGGGGCTTACCAACTTCCACCTTCATGTTCATCATCCTCGTCTTTATTACATCCACCGGGTTCGACGCGACCGCCGCCACAACCCCCGCCGCGAAGCTCGCCACCACGTGTGTCCTCATCCCATCTTCCATGACCCCATTCTCTAATATTGCTTCCTTGATCTGATCGTACGTTGCCAACTGCGAAGCCGTCACGATCATCGCTCGGTTCACCGTGAGGGATGAGCCCCGCCACAGGCTAGCCACGCCTTCTTGTTTCGAAATCCGTGTAATGGCATCGTAAACGCTCTTGTAATTCCGGCGTTGCTCTTGTGGGAGCCTTCCGTCGGCTTGCATGCGTACCATTGCAACGTCAGCGGGGTTCCCAACCGCCGCTCCGATTCCTCCGGCGATGAGCCCAGCAGCGATTTTCTTCGTCAAGTGCATGGTTTTGGTCTCCGGGTCAGTCCAGCTTTGCTTGAACATATCGTAAAGGCCCATACGGGTGGTAGAGTAGAGGGCTTGACGGAGGACGGTGGCGGAGACGCCGGAGAAGAGAGCGGGGAGGCCTTCGGAGTGAACAATACGTAGGGCGAGAGAGATGGGACCCACACGCGGAGGAAGAGACAGAGGGAGGGAAGTATTAGCCGTAGAGGAAGATAAAGCAAAAGCTGGGCGAAGCTGGTGAGAGAAGGTAGTTGTTTCGCCTTGGAGTTGCATGCGGACTTTGATAAGGTCGAGAGGGTGAGTTGAACAGCCTGCTACGACTGAAGCGACACCGCCTTCAACAAAGCTCTTAAGACCCATGTCGGCTTCAAAGGAATCTTAGGACGTAAAGATTACCGAGATCTTGTTTCTTCAGTCCCTGCCTTGTTATTTTTTAAGACAGCAGAAGTGGGGTTGAACACATTGGTTAGATGGCTGAAAGACATAGGTCACATAACGTTGAAGAGTGAGAGAGAGGCGTAGGGCTTTCTAATAGTAGCACTGGAAACTGCAAATTGGGCCTATAATGGGCCTTGAATTGAGCTAACCCAACTTGAAATCATATTCGCCAAGCCTGGTTTACTGAACTTATCTGCTTACCTGAGTTTGCTTTAGGCTCAAGATGCCCATTTTTGTTCTTCTCTAGTGTTTTTTTGTTCTGTTTGAGCCAGGCCCCTTTGTTATTAAAAACAATAATAATAAAAAACCCCTAAGACCCTAACTGCTCCTTGGTCTGGTGTTAATGGATGGTGGTGACGGAAAATATAAACATTGCTGGTAGCTAAGCGGAGTTAATGTGCATGAATCAACAAGTAGAAAACAAGAATGGTGAAATTGCAAAGAATAAAACCTATTCTTTTGCACCAACACTTTATACATAAAAAAATTAGGAAAAAAGAAATCAACTGAAGTTATCAATAGATTAAGCCGTGGAGTATTGCAGAGAAAGAACACAAATTAATGTTGAATTAAAAGCATTTTTTGGAATCTTAAATCATCAGCAGTCGCTTTGGCCGAGTGGTTAAGGCGTGTGCCTGCTAAGTACATGGGGTTTCCCCGCGAGAGTTCGAATCTCTCAGGCGACGTCGCCTTTTCCGTTCCTTTTACCCTAATCTAAAACTTTTTTACTTCATTTTCCCATTTTCGTAAGACTTATAAAACCTTGATCCTGAATGCAAAACACTGTTCAAAAAGACCAATGTTCATCAGGTTAAACAATTTTCCAAGCCAACTTCAAATTAGAATGAAAACGACAATAATTAGTATTCTTGTTACATAATTATTCAGCAATGCCAAAAAAAAAAAAAAAGGAAAAGAAAATTAAGAAAACCCAATCCTTTTACACCCCAAACTCACGTTGGTTGTAACAAATCAATCCTACTTCAATCTCTGTATTATATGCCAATTAAGTGAAATTTTTTAAAAGAAGAAAAAAAAAAAAAAAAACAGATAGATGTGAGAGTAATGGCTTAACTTATTTCTCGTGACACCATCCATTTTTGCCATTTTCCATAACGGTGAAAACTGAAAACCTTCCTATACATTCCTCTTTCCTACCTCACATTACTCAACCTCATTATCAAGACAAAGGAGGTTTCCCCCACGAAATCCAAGGAAAAGGGGAAAAGAGAAGAAGCAGAAGAAGAACAACAAAAGAAAAGAAAACATCTCTTGCTCTTTCTCTTCTCCCCCTTTGCCTGCATGTTCCTTTAAAAGGGCATGGTTAAGTTACTGTTAAAAATGTGTCGTTAAAATCATTGAATTTGGTGTATACAAATCCATTGGGAAACTGGGACAAGGCCAAGAAATGGAGGTTCAGCGGAGAAGGCAGTTGTTATTACTTTGGTCGAGAGTGCAAAGTACCCGTGTGGCTCTTGTAGGTGGAAATCACACCGCTGCTCGATTTTGCACTCGCTAAATTTGCCTCTCTCTAATGCTTTTTTTCCTCTCCCTCTCGCCTACTATTATCTTTATTTTTTTAACTTTGGTCTGATCTTTTTATCTGTTATTTCTATTCAAACTTCCTTTAAAATTTTTATTTACTTTCTCATACAAGACCCATGTCATCAACAAGTCCATCAATGGCTGCCCAAATGATTGATGGAATCCAAACCAAATGCCATAACAAGCACAAGCCTTTACGTTATGGTGGTGGCTTTAGTTGGCCTGCTGATACACATTTGATATCCGTCAAGGTCCTTGATTCTAGGATTTTTAAGCTTCTCGCTCGCTTCACGGTGATTGTGGCCTTGATCATTGTGTTACTTCCTTGGTCGGGAATAGTATCTATTATCAATAAAGAATCTGCACGCCCTGCTGATGCATCCGAGCCTAAAGTAGTCTCAACTGATTCCATTAATCTGGAACTCTTGCCATTGCTCTTTCATGATTTAAACAAGGAAGGCATTCTGAAACAGGGAGACAAAGGACTAATGTTAAGCAATAATGATGAAGAGGCCATTCATAGTTCTCTGTTCTCGAGGAAAAGTGATATGGAATTCAGTTCTGTCACGGATTTGGAACGACAAAGCTCAATTCCCAACGAGTCCTTTGACTTTACCTTCACGCAAAACTTCCGAGCAGCCTCAGAATTCATTGATCGCGCTCTCAAAGTTGGTGGTATTGTTGCTATTCAGCTGAGTGGAACCGGAAGGTCCTCCTATTCATTCAACAAGCCATCTAATTACGAGATTGTATACTTCAGGAAATTCTGGTCAAATGTTTTGGTCATGAAGAAAGTTGGGTATGCTAAAACAATCTCTAGCACCCAAAGGCGGCTTTTTGGTTACACATCAGAAGCAAAGAAGGAAGCATTGAAGAACCTGGAAGATGTGCTTCTTGAACCACCAAGAGCAGCTTCGAGGAGATCAAAAACTTACTTAAAGAGAACCAAGTACTTACCAGACTTATTGGGAGACACGCTTGAAAACTATCCTCGTCGGGTTTTCATTGATGTAGGTTTGCCAGAGAAAGATGGTGTTAGTGGCACCGATTGGTTTGCCAAGAATTACCCAACCAGGAATCTGAAATTTGAGACGTACAAGATTGAGACTGTGACCAAAGAGCCTTCAACCAAGGAGGTGCCAAATGTTGTACCTGAGATTGGGATGTCGGATTGGCTGATAAAGAATGTGAAGGAGGCTGAGTATGTGGTGATGAAGGCAGAGGCTGAAGTGGTTGAAGATATGGTAAAGAGCAAGGCTATTAGGTTGGTAGATGAACTATTCCTAGAATGCAAACCTCAAGGAAATGGTGGAAGGAAGAACATGGGCAAAAGGGCTTATTGGGAATGTTTGGCTTTGTATGGGAAGCTAAGGGATGAAGGTGTTGCAGTGCATCAATGGTGGGGTTGACAGAGTAAGATTTTATCATTTTAACAAGTAGAGAGAAACGTGTTATAATGTGAGAGGGAGAGGTTACCATAAAACAAGCCAAAAATAAAGTAGCTTTTTCTTTGTATTTCAAGTTTGTTTGATGTAATTGCCGAGTGTGCGTGTGGTTTTAAATTTCATGATGAAGTTTCAAAGTTTGATCCTTCTCTTCAGGAAATCTTCATTTCAAAATTCCAACATATGTGCAACCTTTATATTCATTATAATATTTATTGATAGTTTTGTTACATTCTCCTCTTTTAATTGATTTACTTTAATAAGCATCATTTCATCTTCTAGTAACCTAAAAAAATATTTCACCTTGCTGTAAACTAAAAAATTTTAAATTATATTATTTTCATTTTTTTTTTTATCGTTTTCGTGTTCAAAATTTTCCAAGTGTAACCATACTCAAACTGCTTCCATTTCTTTTCACAATTAAAAACTTAAAACATTACATATATAATCACCAAAACGACAGGATTTTATGGCCAGTTTATTAACTACATCTATTTTTCGTTGAATAAAGACAGAAACTTAGCCTAAACCACAGGATGCCAGAGAAAGAGCAATGATAAAACTAGTTACAAGCTTCACGAGCAATTCCCAAGCGAGAATTCGCGACATCAAAGAGAATCCTGTGATTCTGCTGCTGCAAATTGGCTATTACATTCATGGCAGCGTTCACATTGTTTGGAACTGGTGCTATGGCCAAGCAAGCACGTGACCCTGCACTAGTATGTAAGAAGCTGTTTTCCATTGGCAATGTCATGGACAAGCCTTCAAAATGTAATGTTATTAGAGGTGCCTCTGCTTCTCCTGTAGCGTCGAAGCAAGTCTCAAAAACTCCTATGCCGGAAAATGGGCCTTTCACGTGCTTCACAAACTCATCTCGGATTGCCTCATAAAGGGGTGGGACAAATCGGGTTACAACTGTACCCGAATCAATTATAGTCCCCGCCCCGGTATTCGGGTTAAATGCTAGCAATTCCGGGGTGATGGGGACCCGAACCTGGCCTACACTGACCCCGGTTAGGTTAACGTAGTAAAGTGAGGGCCGGCGTGGGTTTTTTAGGAGCGGGGTGGTCCGAATATTCTTGGGCTGACCCACTGGCCCAAGTTTGAGGGAGCCCGAAAAGTAATAGGACTTGAAACTGGGCAGACAATATGAGAAAACACTTGAGTAGAGTGACCCTGATTGTGAAATCAGTGACATGGGGCCCCGCCCCAAACCCAATAGCCCCTGGGGTGGGACTGACCCACCAGAGATAGTGTTAATACATCCAAAAGCAAAGTTTGGGATAATGTCATTGGCTAACATTAAGGAATCTTGTACCAAGTTGGCGGAGAAGGATGAATCTCCACCGTAGGACTGGTTAAAAGAGCAAGTAGCAGTCCCAGTAGCCGGGCACGATAGTCCACGGACCTGGGCACATTGAGGCAATGAGCAATCCAACGACCCATAACTTGAAGAAGTATTGGGTGAGAAAGTGGTAGCTGAGCAGCCGGTGCATCCAGAGCATGGGACCCAAGCAACATCATTACTAGTATCAAGTACCATGAACATGAGCTGACCAGGAGTGCCAAGCCTGACCCTTGCAACATAGTTGCCAATGTTTAGAACTTGTTGGCCTGAAGCAATTGGAACAGCTGTGGTCTTTTGTGCCACCAGGCTAGACAAGTACTTCACTCTTGCTGGGTCTTTTGAGGCCATGTTAATGACAGTGTTGACCCAAGAGTCAGGTTTTGGTGGGTTGAATGGTGAACATTTGCCATAGATTGGAATGACCGAGAGGTCTGAGTTATCTGGCGGAGAGGCACAAGGATCAAAAGCCTTGGTGTTTGAGACAAGAAGAGCAAAAAAGAAGAGTGTGGCAGTGAAGTCCATGCTTCAAAGCTAGGACTTCAGCTTAGAGGAATTAAGTGAGGATGCATTAGAAATGAGAAGCCAATAAGGTTTTATACATGCAATTAGTGCACTTATAATTACGGAAATAGCCTTGTAATTCTGGTCAGGTCAGGTCAGGTCAGGCCACGCAGGAACCTTTTGAAACAATTTGGCCACCAACATTAGGAGGGTCCAAAGTGGGCCAATTAGTACGCAGAGAATAATAGGACGCAAAACTTTTGTCCCTATGAGCAATGATGAATGTTCATTCTCATAAAACAAGGCCCAAAATTGAAGGGGAAACAGAGGCAAAATGACAAGCTTTCAATGCAACGAGAAGGCAAAGGACAAACTAAGCCTTGAGTTTGGGACAGCCAAGAAGAAGATGTAATGCTTAAAGCATGTTCCTATCGGGTAAGATTTCCAACTTCAAACATTGCCCCTTCTTATCAACCAAAATCTCAAGCCTACCAACATTGAGCCGACAATAAGAGTGACTTAGACCATGCAAAAAGTAACTCTTTGGTATAGTTACAATTATAAAAATTTTAGTTCATTTTTCATACATTGTTCGTGAAATTTTTATTTTGCAATCGATGTTAAAAACATTATGACATTTATTTTTTAAAATTTATAATTACAAAGTTTGACTCCCTCCCCCTGCAAGACAATTGAAGAGCATCTTCAACTGGCAGTCCTAACCATTATCAATGACTGAATGTTAGGATTAAAATTTGGGGCAAATTGGAGGGTATAACTAGAATAAGATGGATGAGTTGTTAAGCTCGTGAATCCCAGCTGGAGGGAGCTGCTATCTTGTCCCTACGTAGCATGAGATTTGGTCGGTCACGGGCTCACCAAGACATTTTTCCTCATCAACCGGGATCTATCGTCTGTAAATTCTGTAAGATCAAGATCAGCAGCACCACTTCGACCAGAAAGATTCCAATGGAGCTACAGCTGCTAATAATTTCAACTAGTACTCCATCCATATTTCAGATTTGCTAGAGATTTATACTTAATTATTTTACATATGTTTTAGATTTACAAGAGATTTGATAATCATAAATAGTAATACCATATTAAACAATAATTTTTTATGTTGATTTTTTTTATAAAATCGTTGTTTAAAAAAATAATTATAAATTATAAAGTTATTATTATTCTTTAAAAATGATTGAAAAATTAATTGAATCAAATTTAAAATTTTAAGTCGATAAAAGAAAGAGATGGAGTGTAATTTAAAAAGAGCTCCCCGTCATTTAATTTTTGGTTTTTCCACTCAGCAGTCAGCATGATGGATAAGACTTGTTTTTAACGATGTCGGTGTTTATAAACAATTGCTAGTTTATCTAAAAAAACATAGCAAAATTTCAAAAAAAAAAAAAGACAGCAAATTTTCGTTTGGTCAAACTGTGTTGAACAGAATTTGATACCACCAAAAACTCATCCATGCATTATTAATTTATTATCTGATGACAAGGCTGCATTTCTTAACACAGTTGAATTTAAATGACATAACCTTGAAAAACAGAGGAATGGATCACCGCAAGAAAAGCCTTTTTTTTCTTCTTTTTTCACTTGAACTCCTCAATGATTTGTAAGAGCTCCCCAGCAGCAAGCTCACGACTCACGAGGCTGTCCTGTTGAGAATATTACTATTTGTTGTCTTGTGAAGCAGAGAATGATATCTTTTCATCAATAATTATCCAAAAGGAGCAAGAGTGGTAAACTTTGTCACAGACGTAAATTCCATTTGAATACAACAGCCAACAAGTCAAATTTCAAAACGAACCCTACCATGGAATTTGGATCCTTCTCTCAAAATATCATCAACATTTTCCTACTAGATATTTTCTTTTTATTTTTTGCTTAGAATGATTTTCCCATGAACACTTAAATTTTTCTTAGCTGGTTCCCAACCATACTATAAATGGCTGCATGTATTTCATGATATTCAAGTATCATATAACCTTTTCATTGATATTCGTGTACCCGATCTGCTTTATAAAGAAGCAAGCTTTTCTTTTCTTTTCTTTTCTTTCTGACTTTTTGTAAGAACAGTAGGTTGGTATCAAATACAACAGTCGATGCTACAATGCCTACGAAATTCAATACAAAAGTTCATGATTTTCACTTCCGAAGCTGCATTACAATCTCAGTACTCCAGAGAACAGATATAAGCAAAACCAAGTACAAAATTTGACCTCAAAACTTCAAGGATACTAAAAGGCAAGTACAAGTTTGGCAATACAGTTAAAAACAGATAGGAAATGGTAACTTAAACCAGAAGCGCCATCTACAGGTGAGAAAGAAAAATCAAATTTACTTTGGCTTTATACAGTAATACAAACACAACCAAATTAATGAATAAATATTAAGTAGCATAAAGATATTATAAGTTGATATAAGTAATGGCACATACAGGGATGGAATATGAAACTTTTAGACAAACGCCACTCACAGGCATCGGGGGATTTACAAGAGCAGACACCTTAGCTTATCTTCTCACAAATTTCTCTCCCAGTGGCAAGTCTGGAACAATCCCATATAGAACAAGACAGCAATTCCAACACATATCACAAATCCAATCCAGAAGAACACCATCATTTTGCTGAGCATTAGCACAACAGGTCAACAAATTGAACATAAGTTCAAAATTAGGTCCAGTCCATATTTAGATAAAGAAGAAGACAATTGGAAGTGCATGAAGATGGAATAAAGATAAAGCATGTTACTATATAATCTCCCCCCAGGCACCCCCATCCCCCAACTTTATTACTCTCTCATATCATACTTCCCCCAACATAGCCCATCCCCCAAAATCAGAAAAAATACAGGGAAATAGGTTTTCCGAGCAGGCAGACATGCAAACATGCAGCAGAAACCTGCTGCTGCACAATTTATGACGATGTAAGAATACAAAGCTTCCAAACAAATCCTCATTCGAAAATTTCCATAGGTGTTTAAGTGACCACATTCAATTGCATATTCCACTTGATGCCCATAACCATGCCTACCAATTTGGTAAACCTAGGTAATAACTGAGATAGAACATAGCATAATATACAGAACATATAAAGCTCACATAGTCACATGTATCTATCAAATCTAAACAAAAAGTAAAGCACACGACATTTTTGGCCAGACCATGGCAGTCCATTCTTTCAAATCACTAGTAACTTTAATCTACCTAATCAAGAATAATACATTCACTTTTTGTTAGTGGAGCAAGATAGGCAAACTTCATTTGCCTCAAGTGGGTTATCCATGTACCTGGATAGAAGAAAATGAGCGTGTATGTCATGGATGATCAACAGTAATGAGAATTTTAAACATTGGATATGTACCAAAAAAAAAAAAAAAAAGAGAGAAAGAAAATTGCATTTCTAAAAAGAAAAAAAAAAAAGATAAGAGTTGCTTTGATGAATCAAATTGAAATGGAGAAACACGGTGTATTTACTATCATGGTCTGGGCTAGCTTACATCAGGAAATCACTAGCCAACTGTGTATTAGCTCAGATGGCATGCATGCTAATCAAACTCTTGGAATTGTGGGTCCTCTTAAGGTGAGTTAAGTAGATAGGAGTTGGAGGGTTAAAGATAGATTAAAATTTTTTAAAAAAAATCAGGAAACCACTAACAAGCTCCAATTGGACAATGTGCTTATCGAGTGATCCATGAACCATGGTGCAATTTTCTGTGACATGGCATATCAAAACCTTTTTCATTTTCTTTTGACTGTATGATGACACAACTTTCTAGATCCAATGACATATTGATATGAATAGCAATCAACACATCCAGGCAAGAAATGTGACCATTTTCATTTTATCTTTCATGAAATCACATACAAAATGGCTTTCTGTTACTTTGGTGTATCCTTCATGTACTTGGCAATAAGTAAAGATCTTTAAATTTTAAAAAATGAATCACAATTATATTAATTTGAGAACCTTTCTATTAGTAATCTTTGGGAAAGAGGAGCTTAATGCCAAGGCTAGAATGTGGTCACCTGTTACTTAAAAGGCATGGAATGATCATAAATTTTACACTCAATGAGGAGCATTAATTGCTGATCAATTGAGTTAGACAGTGGATAGTAAATAAGCTAAGATTATTTGATGGATCAAAGAAAATGGAACCAAATAGCTAATAGTATTAATTATTAATGGCCAACAGGACTTCAAACACTATTAAGAGTGAGAAACAAAAAAATTGCCTGAAAAGAGCACAAGATGCAAAGTTCCAAACCAGTAACTCCATGCACATTGCAAAAAGAGTAAAAGAAAACAAGGAGCTTAGCTCCTCATCAATACATCAATATACATGAATTATTTGCAATCAATGACAAGTCTACAGAAATTTAACAAGAAAATGAAAATTAAAAGGAGAGAGAGAGAGAGAGAGAGAGAGAATGGGAGAAGAAGACAATAAATGGAGCCAGACTTGTCATAGACTGCAGCTGGATGCATACCTACTTAAGCTTAGGAGGAAGTATCCTTGCTCTTAATAATCATAACAGGGCATTGCGCATGGTTGGTGCAGTAGTTGCTTACACTTCCCAAAAATATTCTGTTGACATAAAACATAATGAGTTTCATCCCATTTAGCATTGTTATAGATCATAAATTTGTAATGTATTTTCAATCAGAAAAGAATTTTCAATTTTGTTGCCTGTATGAAGGATCATGATGATCCATTCCCATGATACCATAAAAACAAAAGAGACACAACCTTAAATGTATGCAATTTCCTCATGATAAACCCTATAGGATGACATTTGGTTCCACCATGACCTCACATTTTAGTATTTACAGCTCCTTCAGGCAGATTAGAAGCATCTCACTGGAGAGACTCCTTTTCCTTAAGCCACTTTAACACTGCTATGCGGCATCCTCAACATAATAGTGATTTTGATTAAAAAAAAAAAAAACCATAGCTAGGAGATAAATGAAAGTAATAGGGAATGGCTATTAATATTTACTCATATTAAAATCACAAGAACACTATTTCTCCGGATAAACTTGACTAGTTTAGAGCACATATGTAACAATGATTTAAAAGACTTCTATCAGAATCATAACTCTATTAAGCAAATTCCCCAATCCAGTAATATTAAATTTTAATTAACCTTTCATTTAGAAGCTATTACAATTAATAAGCTTCTACTTAATAATAGCTTCTCTGGTAGCTTGATTACTAGGACTCCCTCTAGTCCATTATTCTCGTGCTTGATCAATGATTATGATTCAGAGGGTAAAAGACTTTAACAACAATGTCAAATACTAAATGAAATATTTCCATAATACATATCTTAGCTTTTAAGTTATAAAACTTGTGATGGTGGAAAATAATCGAGAGACAAGCTCTATCAAGCAACTAATCAAAGGCGTCCAAACAATAAGCTGCCTATTTCAATATGGTCAACCTAGTACAAAATTTTCCATTCAACCAGTCCATCAAGCTTTCGAACAAATTTGAAGAAATTAGTTGGCAAAGGAAAATTAAGTTCCAATGAAGAGACTACCTTTTAATAGGGCCAAAAGCACGGGACCCCATCACAAGCAAATCAGCATGCAAATTTTCAACTATTTCACAAATTTTTTCCTTCGGATCCCCAATCACAACTTGCGTTTTCACGTTTGCCTGAATTAGAAGTATTCCACTCTTAATCATTTTTCTCAGCATGTTAAAAACCAAAAAAATTAAAAAAGACATTGTGTTAATCAAATTAATTATTTACTCAATGTCAAATCGCAAAAGACCCATTATTTAGAATAAAAAAAAAATTTTGACCTTCTTTTCAGAGCAAATCTGCAGAGCATAACTCAAAATCACCTCAGTGATTCTCTTCTGGTGCGCCTCGATGGCCGCTGTGAATGCAGGAACCTCTAGATCGCCTGAAGTTAAATTTTCAAACAAAAAAAAAATCAATTCGTATCTGGAATAAAATAATTGAATCCAAAGGAGGACACAAAAGGTGGCTTAACTGGGCCCGCCAAAGGGTATGGCGCCGGGATTGAGGCCAGTAGCGATGGTTGGAGGAGATTGGACGTGGAGGAGGAGGAAGTAACCGGGAGATTCGGTAGAGTCGGAAGCAGATGATCGGAGCCTGATATTGTCGAGCGCCCATCTTAAGGCGTCCATACTCTCTTCACTGCCATCAACGGCAACGACTACGCATGCTAAGTTTCCGGGCATGATTTTGACTGGTTCGTTGACTTTCGCGACGTTTGGAGATATAATCCTGGCAATGACTGATTGGCTTTTTTCTCTTTGTTTTCGAGCGTGATTGCCATCAAAGCGCAAATCAAAGCAAAGTGGACTCTCCTACTGCCGGAAGCCCAATCTTTGTTCAATCCAGATCCAATGGATCAGCTAATAATTATCCAACAACATTGAGTTTTGCATTTTGATTTTTGTCAAAATTGATTTAATTTTCATTTTGATTACCAAAATTATTTCTTAAGAAGAACAACAAATACCTTTGGATGCAATATAATTAGGGAAATAATCTTTTGCACGTATGTAAGATATTGTTGTTCTTCCTTTAGATAAACTATTAAAAAAATCACCACAACACATAATGCTTGCGTTTTGTTCAATACGAAATATAAAAAAAAGGCAACACTAGCATGTAATAAACAAAAAATAATAAGAAGCATTTTAACTATAATTTTTTACTATAATATTATAATTATTTAATTACAATTAAAATTTACGTGATAATCCACTACATATAAAAATGAATTTCATATAGTATTTTACTAGATTTTATTTAATTAATTATAATACAATTATTATAAGTGATATATTTTAAAAAATGATAATGAAATGAACAAATTTATTATTTTGATAATAATATTTTTATTTATTACCATTAAAATATCCAATATGAATATAATGCATGGTATACTTATATATTATTAAAAGAAATCAAGTTAGCGAGATTCTTTTAGTAGTAATGAAAAAGTTTTAAAACGTTTTAAGATTTTTAGTTTCAATCCCATTATATCTATATTTTATTTAATTATATATTAATGTTTTATATGAAATATAACATTTGATTATAATTATAAAATTTTTTATAATAATAATTTCATCAAAATAAATAGATTTGATTGAAAAATTTTGATTGAAAAACCTTTAAGTCAACAAGTATCTTTTATTCGAAAAGCTCGAAATTGAAACCGTCAGTTGTTAGAACTTTGATATTATTACCTGTTGCTGTTTATAAAAAATGATGGTTTATTAAGTCAATAATTTAAAATAATTTCTTAATTTGAAATTGCTTGCCTCTTTTTTTATTAATTAAAAAATTTTAACCACCCAAGTTATATCATTTTGGCTGTGATCGATCATAGGGGTATAAATAATATATTAGTATTCGTAAATTATTTAGGTTCGATTTGAATAAAATTTGAATTCGGTTCAATTATTATCGAATCAAGTTCGAGCTCGAGTAACTCGACTTATCAATCAAGCTGAGTTCGAATATTCTTATATTCGACTCGAATAGTTCGCGAGCATAATCGAGCTTTTATATTTTAAATATATTTTTATTATTTTTAATTAATAAAATATATCAAATTCAAGTTTGAGCTCGAGCGTAAATAATCAAATTCTTGTCGAATATACAAATCAAGCTTATTTTTATATATTAATCGAGTTTAATCAAGTGAGCTCGAGTAGTTCAATTTCGATCACGAATCGAGTTCGAACTAAAAAAATAAAACTCAATCAAGTTTGACCCAAGTATCGAACCGCAAATTGAAATCGAGCTCGAGCTCAAACTTCTCATTGTATCGATTAAATTCGACTCGATTACACTTCTAATCGGATCAATTGCAAATAAGTTTAGGGATTGTTCATTTCATATAAATCTGATAATTTTTATTTATATTATATAAAATATTAATAATTTATATATTTTATCATATTTTATATAAAAATTATATATTATAATTTTTATTAATATAAAAAATATATTTTTATTTATTAAACTTATATAAAATTTTTATTAAAATTTTAAATTATATATATTTTATATTATTTTTATGTTATACTATCATATGATTTTAATTTTTTCAAATGAAAAAAGAGTTTTTGACCGCATCACATAATAGCCATCAAAAGTAGTTATTATGACCAAACGCAACAAAAGATTAGGATTGAAAATTGAAAGACAAACGGTGAAATTAATGGTCATGGATTTCAATTATTATGACAATTAAGGTAGTGGGGTGCTCCACATCAAAATTTTAGCAGGCGTCATTCTATCAGCAATTACTCTTTTTCCTTTTGTGGAGCAATAATTGATGGAATCAAATATTTTTTGCTCCTTTCTGAAACTGATCTTCTACTAAAGTTAGGTGTGGATTAGCCAATTTTGGAAGAATTTTTTTTTTTTTTAAAAAAAACAAGAAGATTATAAACTTGTAAGATGATCAACCTAGAGAACACAGGTAAGGCAATTTTTCTTCTTTGGTTTCATGAGCTGGCCATGCACCGTGGCAATGGAAGTAACATAGATAAATAAATTAATACATTGGTTTTTCTAGGCACGATCGAAAAATCTCACCAACCAAGAAAATTGCATTGCTTTTCATAAGAATTTCCCTCTCTGGAAAAAGCTCAAAAACAGGTGGAAACATCATGAAATTGCACTTAAATGACTCATTAATAATAATATGAAGATTTGGTAGAAATTTAATTTGTCAGGCGTAGGCATGGCAGCGTGGGACCGTATCTTATATGAAATTAATTTAATATTTTTAATTAATATAATTTTTATAAAAATATTATATTTTATATAAATTATATTTAAATTAAAATATTAAATAATAAATTTATTAACATATAAATTAAATTAAATAATAAAATATTTTTATTTTTACGTATATAGAGATAGATAAGGACAAAATACTCTAAAATCTGATTTTAATTTCTAAAAAAATCACTCTTGTCAAATTAAAATAAATAAAAATTAATTGGATATAAAATATTTTTATTATTTTTAATTATACACACAAAAGTAAAATTCATTCAAAGAAGCTTTCTTGTAAGGTGGAATCCTCTGTCTAAATAGCATGACAATGCATATATAAAAATATATAATTATTAATTAGTGGTGTTGGATAAGTTAAGATGATATTTTTAAAAAACAACACATTTTTTATAAATAATATTTTAATTATTGTTAATCTGTGTTTCTAAATATTCGTTAATTTGATTAAATTATAAGGTGATAAATGATTAATAAAATCATCAACAAAGTATGATTTATTGAACGTCAAACTTTTAATTTTAGAGATAAAAATCAAAATTTAATACGCCAACCTCGTAAAAAAAAAAGTAACAAAGAAAGACATGATTGTTTCCCAAGAAAATTATGAAAGTAGGCATGAAAATTATGGGTGATGATTTGATCGTAGGGTCAGCTAGCAACTTGCAGGGAAAAAAAATGGAAAGTGACTTGGTTGTTTCAACTCCCAAGTTCCGACACCTCTTGCATGTAGAAAAATAAAAAATGAAGGGAAAAGGATTTGGTTATTTTACTTGCAAGTAGTATTACAATTCAGGTTTAGAAAAAACCTGGGGGCAACAATTTCCTCAAATTAATGGTCAAGAATCCCTTTTCTTTTCTGCCGTCTAAGACACGTTGCACAAAATTAGACTCCTTCAATCCTCAATATTTAAAACTGATGATAATGAAATAGAGTCGAAAAAATTATGTGAAAAATCCTGATTTTTTAAAAATGAAAATAAAAATTTTATCATTAGATAATTGATTTAATCGGTTAAGTTTATCTTTTTTAATAAAAAAAATTTTAAGTTTGAATTATGTTAGTAATCATTTATTAGAGTTATTTCAAATATATGATTTATAATCATCTATCTTAAATTGTCAGATACGACATATTTTATTTTGATTCGAAAAATTAAATAACTTATTTATCTTCGAATTTAAAAAGAAAAAACTAAAATTTAAGTATTAAAAATAGAGCTAAAATTTTATGTTTTTTAAAAGAAATTAATGAATCGTTTAAATTAAATTTAAATTAAAAAAAGTTGATTTTTGACTAATAAGCTCATCAGCTGGCAAATTAGTACTAAAATTTTTTTTCAATCGACCATAATCAAAACTTAAACATTTAAAATCAAAGCCCACGAGTTAGTTTAATTGAAGTAGATAACTCCATTTACTTGTCAATCCAAGACTTGATTTAGGTGAAAAATATTTTAAAAATAAAATTTTAAATGTAATAAATTGATGTAAAGAATATATATTTAAAATTAAAAATTTTTAATTATAAGTATAAATTATATTTATAATCAAATAAATAAATTAATCAACCAACTAAAACATAATTAACAAACACAACATAAAATTAAATAAAATTTAAATTTAAGATCTCAAAATTTTAAAACTCTTCCTTATTATTAAATCAATGTTTCAATGACAATTAAAATTTATTTTTGGTACTCAATAAAATATTAATCTTACCAGCGAAAATAAAAGATTGAAATTTATTTTACTTTTTTATAATTAATTTATTAATTTTTAATATATATAAAAATATATATTATTTTATTAACTCTGCTTGTTTTTTGAAAAAAAAAAAACTTGTAGTGTTTAAAATTTTCGTACTATAAAACAAATTCTCTTAAATTTATTTTAAAAATAATTATATCTAAATTAAAAATACCTTTTATTATATTATATAAAAAAATCAATGTCGGTCTTATTTAAGAAAATTTGAAGTCAGAGCTTCTTATCACCAAAGCTAGAAAAAAAATGAGTTAGACCCAATTATATTCCTGAGGAGGCAATTGCTTGTAGCCTGGCTTATTTTCAAGCGTGGAAAAACCAAAGACTAAAGGAAAAAATAGTTAATTTGGAAAATGGCAAGTGAAACGTCACCATCAGCTCTGTACCCCAGCAAATCAAAACAAAGCTACGCTGTCGCATCGCAGCAAGTGTCCAATGCAGTTTTCATCGCGAAACAACCTCAATAAGAATAGATATATAAAAAAAAAAAAAAAAAACTGAAAACAAAATGGAAAGTTTAATCAAATCGGAAATTAAACCGGTTCAACCCGTGGCCCCACCTGGGCAGAATATTTGATTACCACAGAATTCACGCTTCTCGGTATCTCAAATAAACAATTCCTTTCCCTCGACCACCAAATACCTTTTTAACAACGTAATAATAAATAAATAATTATTCAATATTTAAATGCTAATTTAATTTCCCTTAGTTATTATTTTCCGGTAATTTGTCTCTCTTTTTTCTAAAATCTCGATCTAAGAAAGCAGAGAATTTTCGTTGTACGAAAATCGGCAACCTGAAGCAGAAGCTTAAAACTTTCGCTTTTTTGCTAACCAAAGCAAAATCAACATGCTTCTCTCACTGTCAGTTCCTTTTAGGTTTGTTTAATTTTATATTTTTTTAATAAAATTCTCAATTATTTAATTTTCGAGATCACGGTGCAGTTCAACGACCTTGTTTTAGTCCAAATCAACGGCTACGATTGCATGCTCGACGGCCGGAGTTTGTTCTCCTCGCCAGAGCGACGCCACGTCGTCGTCGTTGGAATCTATGTGTAGTGTTGAGATTAGGAGGCTAGGGTTTGCCGATTCCGTTGGATGCCTATTGGGTGCATGATAAATGCTTCTAGCCGGGGATCTAGGGTTCTCGGGCCTGGTCCTTGCGGTCTCCCTTGTTCTTCCTTTGATCGGCTTTTTCATTAGGCGGAAATGGCGGCTCTCTGTTGCCAGGCAAGAGGAGATCAAGAGGCTTATAATTTTGGCCTCGGAAGAGGCCGCTAGGGCCGAACTTGAGGCCTCGCTTGGATACGGTACTGTTTCCATTTCGCGGAACTATCATCAGTGTGCTGTTTGCTATTGTCCTACTACTACACGGTGCGCCCGCTGTAAGTCCATTCGATATTGGTAAGTAAATTTGTTAATTTTGGTTTTTTTTTTTTTTTTTACTTTTTTTATAACTATTGAGTTTTTTGTTTTGGTTATTTAGTTTGAACAGTATTTGAGGTGAATCTGATTCTTTATTTCGCAATAATTTCTTAAATGATATGGAAATGAAGAAATTTTTGGTTAGAAAAGTGCTTCAAATGTGTTTTCCAGTTTAAATACTCCATAATCTGTAAAAATTACGTAGACATATAATTTAGGCGCACGAGGTGTGTGTTTACGAAGTGAGAAATGAAGCAATTTAGAAGACTTGGTTGGTGAAAATTACATTATAGATTCAACCTCCACTTTCTATCATGGATGGGGTGTTTGTCTTAAAAACTGCAGTACTTTGATGGATAGTTCATGGTTGTGCTGATTGTGAGCAAATGTTTCAGTTTGTGTATGCCATGTGTGAGCTTCCTATCATTATAGTATGTCACAAAGATTGGATGTTAGAAAGCTTTTTAACTATTCCTCCTGAAGATGACCTTTTCTGTGTCCTGTCTTGTTTGCAGTTTGGGAGTTTTGTTTTGTTTTTTTTTGTTTTTTTGTTTTTTTACTGGCCATGCAGTTTAGGGGTTTAGGCAGTTTATGTTCACTAAATACATTTGCAAATAGTTAAAATGTAGTTCATTTGATGGGAAAAAAGAACACCACTCCAATGAATGGAGAAAATAGCTTAGCATTTTCCTATCATGTAATTTTAATTCTTAGGACGTGATCTTATGGGACATTCATAGTAAATTATGGCTGAATTGAGCATTATTTTCTGATGACACAGTTGTTTCTACATTATTGTCTTTTAACAGTATTTTGTTTACATCAAAATTTGGATGTTTTAGTTCTGCTAAGTGTCAAATTATTCACTGGCGGCAAGGTCACAAAGAAGAATGCCATCCACCTGCCAATGCCACACACCAGAATCATGATGAGGGCAGTGATTCTGGTCAGAAGGTGATAGAGCACGACCAATATGGAGACAGCTATGAGATTGAAGAAAAGTCGCACGTTAAGCAAACTGGAAAAACCCCCATAGAACCTGCATTGTATAGTTCCACTAGCTCTTCTGTGGTTTTACATGGGAAGGGTGATAATTTAAAGGTTGAGTTCCATGCTAATGGGGAAGGAATGAACTCTGCTTCAGAATCTTCCAGCGCTTCATTTTCTGGATTTGCACCTGCAGCTAGTAGTGAATCATCTGACAATGTTTCTGTGTGTGAGAGCATTAGTTCAAAAGAGCCTGATAAATTGGATAGATCTTTGTCTGTTGATGCTAACCTTGACATGTTTTGGACTGCTTCTGGTGTCAACAACGTGGATCAAACCAATCCATCATCCCCAAAATTTGCTAGGTTGGTTGATTCTGTAGATAATATTTCTAAATTAATTAAATTAAATCAGATGAAGCCTGATCAAAGTGGGGAGAGCCAGTGCAGAGTAACTAGTTCTTCCAGTTTAGGCATTAGTGGTACATGTGAGGGCTCAATTGCTGAGGGTTGTACATTATCTTCTGGTTTCACGGGCGGAACTCCAGAATCAGTTGCATCTACAACTGATGCTGACAATGAGTCTTATCATTCTAATCCTAAAGACGGCAGTAAAAGTGCCTCACCTGATTCTGGGACTTCCTTACATTTTTCACGTAATTTGTCTGGAAATGCGTCTTCCTCTCATCCACAAGGCTTCAAGATGAAAGCTGCCAAATTGGATGATACTCCTCGGGGTGCTTTGGGGCATACCAAGCTTTCTGATGGAGTAACATTGTCAGAAAATGTTGGTTTAGATGCTCTGCAGGGCAGCAACTCCCCATCCTCAAATTCTGAATGGCCTAACCATGCGGAGTGTGGGTCCAGCAATATTTCACATGCCACAAAACCCAGAGAAGCTATCAATAAAGATGTTCTATTAGTCAGTAGCTGGTCATCTTCATCTTTAGAAAAGTCAGGCTCTAGTGCTGTCATTAATGGACCTAGCAATGCTTCTCATCAATTAAAGTCTTCTGATGCTTATTCATCCAGTGCCAGAGTGCATGCTGTTCCTAGTGTGAAATCTGGAAAAATTGATGGTTTTCATGCAAATGCTGCTACATTACCTCAGGATTCAAGTTGTTCTACTAATGGTAGGCATGGATTGAAAACCTCTATGTCGAAAGTTTTTGATCAATTTGGAGGATCGAAATTGCCCAAACACTATCCATTTCACGTTGGTAATGAGGTTACTGGAAAATATAATGATAAGGTTGGCTTGAAGTTGCTTTTCTTTTTAACTTTACTAGTTTAGCCTCTGACATAGTAGCTTTTAGTTGAATTTTCTTTTGTATTTGCAGGGACTTTTTCCCTATGAATTATTTGTCAAGCTTTATAGTTGGAACAAGGTGGAACTGCATCCATGTGGTCTTGAAAACTGTGGGAACAGGTAATATAAGGTTGGCTTTTCCTTATAGCAAACAGTTTTGGAAAAACTATATAGGGCATACCGAGTTTTTTTTTTTTTTCTGTTTTTATATTATATTATTTTATTCATTTTCTTTCCTCTTTTTCATGTTACACAGACCATATGCAGAGTATAGATTTTATTTTGTCATTTTACATAGCCACTTAATTGAATAGAAAATAGATTTCATTTTATGCCTTTTTACTGATTGTTGTCAGTTGACGTGCTTTATTATGAATAACATACACTCTATTGTTAGATTATTTACGGTGTTTTAAGTTTTCATCTTTAAGTTCTGTGGGACCTTAGATGTCTATTTGACTATTTTATTCCTGGTAAGGATTATCTCTTTCTGTTGTTAATGTGCTGTTTACTTTGCACAGCTGTTATGCCAATGCTGTCCTCCAATGCTTGACATTTACTCCTCCTCTGACTGCTTACTTTCTTCAGGGACTCCATTCCAAAGCATGTATGCCCCTGTGACGTTTCAAACTGGAATTATTTACATTTTGTGTTTTGAGGTAGCATGTTGGATGACGCTTACTATAAATTGCTTTATTAGGTGCAAAGAAAGAATGGTGTTTCACCTGTGAGTTCGAAAATCTAATTTTGAAGTCTAAGGATGGGAAATCTCCACTTTCTCCTATAGGAATACTGTCCCAACTACAAAATATTGGTGGTCAACTTGCCGGTGGGAAAGAGGAAGATGCACATGAATTTTTAAGGTGGGTTAGATTTACTAATCTTCAATCTTGAACCCTTTTATAATGATTCCTTTCCGGGAAATGAGTAATCATTTCAATAATGTTGTAGTAATTTATTGATGAATTATATTTGGCAGGTTTGCTATCGATGCAATGCAGTCTGTTTGTCTTACAGAAGTTGGGGTGGATTCATCATGTCGTTCAGAAGAAGAAACAACTTTAATTGACCTAACATTTGGAGGCTACCTTCGGTCAAAGGTAATAGATTAAGACCAAGCTACCATCTGGCTGCATGAAGAGTTATGTGTTAAAATGCAAATGATGCATGTAAACTTGTTATTGCCCGCAGATAAAGTGCATGAAGTGTCAAGGCAAGTCTGAATGTAATGAAAGAATGATGGACCTTACAGTTGAGATTGAAGGAGACATAGGAACCCTGGAAGAGGCTCTTCAGCGGTTTACACGGACTGAGATTTTGGATGGAGAAAATAAGTACCAATGTTGCAGGTTGGTACCATATACATTTTTTCAAAATGATTTTTAGATATTTTATCATTATTATAACCATGCAGAGGGAGCTGAAGTTGAACTTTTATGGAGATAGTTCTATTTTCAAAATATTGTACTTTTTTATTTGTTCACTTTAGTCTTTCAGTTTGTTTGAGTTTGACAATTTAACTTTTTAAGAAATTCTCTCCAAATTGGTGGGAGGATAGATGCTCAAATCAAAGCCATTATTTTCTTTTTCTTTGGCTTCAGCTTTTAACTTGTTGGAAATCTGGTCTTTGTTTCTATAAATAGCATTCTTTGAAGAAGCTTTAGGCTGTATTTGATGCTTCTGGAGAAACACTTTTTTGTCAAATTTTGGAAGCTATGACTTATGTACATCATATTACATTATTTTGTCTGCTGTGTAGTGTGAACATGCAAAAGTGGCTATTATATTTGTTGATAGTTTTTCCTTTTTCTGTTTTGGCCAAATTTTCATTGATAGTAGAAACTTGGAATCTATATTTTATGCTTCTATTAGATGTGTATACCAAGAAATAAACAAATTTAACAGAACTTTTGCAATAAAATTATAATTGCTTGTAAAAAAAAATCTGTTTTTCATCAAAGATTTCTCTAATGATTGGTTTTATTTAACCTAGAACTTTTCTTTTCATTATTATCGAGTTCTTGTTCTTGTTGATATTAGTGGTGGTACTGTGTAATGATACACAGTGTACATGGTTGCGGATCCTCAACTAAATTCTCTATTTGCTAGATGTCATCAGTTTTTAAAGGTTTGCTTACTTTGATAGTCCTTGTTTTGTTCAGATGCAAATCTTACGAGAAGGCCAAAAAGAAGCTGACTATATTAGAGGCTCCAAATGTCCTAACAATTGCTTTGAAGCGATTTCAGGTACAGCTTTTGATAAAGAGTGCTGTTTTGCTCTTTGTTCTTTGCAGATTCTGACAGCATATGTGCATTATTTTGCAGTCTGGTAAATTCGGAAAGCTTAATAAAGCAATTCGGTTCCCCGAGATCTTGAACTTGGCACCATATATGAGTGGGACAAGTGATAAATCACCCATATACAGGCTCTATGGTGTGGTGGTCCACTTGGATATCATGAATGCTGCATTTTCTGGTCACTATGTGTGCTATGTTAAAAATGTTCAAAACAAGTGGTTCAAGATTGATGATAGGACGGTATGTTGTCTAAAACTATCATCTGCATATTTTAAACCATTTCATTTGTTTAATGCATGTAACTTTCCTTAATTTATGTCTTCATCCACATTATATTTTGATTGCGCACCCAACCAAACCTTTAAATTTTGTAGGATGTTGTTCTATTATGCTCCCCTTAATTAAATGTTAAAAGTTTTTGCCAAATATAGCGGTTTGCTGTTGCTTCCATGTTAGTAATAATCAGTTATACTTATAAATGCTTTGCTTTGGGATCACTTAAATGTCTTGTTTGATAGGAGATATAAGAAAATACACCCCCTTATTTCCGAAATGCGCCAGGGAGGCCTTGTTTTTTTCCCTTTTGATTCTGGGCTGGACTTCTATTAATTGTGGTAACTCATATACGTCTCAGTTTTAAAAGTAAATTACTCTGCTTAGCTTCTTTATTTTACGTGTTTTTTGGTGAAATGTACCAAAGGTCAGGTCTAAAATGCTGTCGTAAACCCAAAAATTGAGTTTTAGCGCAAAAACTAGTTTTCCCTTTTGCTTGGTCTTCATGTTGCAGATTACTGTAACATTTTAATTGCGTAAAATCCTTTCTTAAATTTTTGGGTTGGCAATAAATTGGCAGGTAACACCCATGGAACGTGAAAGAGTTCTAACCGAAGGGGCATACATGCTTCTCTATGCAAGGTAACGAATCTCAGTTGTTCTGTTTGCTACTAAAATTCAAATGCTGTCATTACGGTGGTGGTTTAACTAACTAATTACCTTGCAGGTGTTCACCCAGGGCCCCAAGATTGATAAGGAGCAGAAATAAGGCCATTCTATCTAGGGTCAATTCAAAGAATCCGCCAAATTCAAGTCCTTCGACAGTTGAAGAATTCTACCCCAGTTCAATTCATCCAGATATTCCTGGGAGCATTGAATATTTTTATTTAAAATACAATCGGCTCCAAAGGATTTTAGAAGAAGACTCATCAAGTGATAGTTCTTCTCTTTTTAGCAGCAACTCTGATGAAGGTTCCTGCTGTACTGACAGCACACGAGACTCTACGTCCGCTGATGATTTATTGGATTCTGCATTTGGCGATTCAATACGTGGTTGGAACAACCCCTGGAGGAGTTCTGATTCCGATGCTTCTTCATCTTCCTCTTCTTCTCCCCTTTACTCAAGGCATTCACCCCTTGCTGATTTAGATCATTATGCTTCAGGTTCGCCTGAAATTTACTCCTCTCAAATGGATTATTCAGATTCAACTACAAAGAATGCTATTCTTTTGGACAGACGACCCAGCGGGAGTAGCAGGCAGATGGATGGGGAAGGTAAGGGAAATGATACTTTTTTCCACTCTGACACGAGTAAACAGTGTAGAAAGATAGGTAGTAGTAGCTCTAGGGAAACGGACTCGGGGAGATTTGGACAGGTTAACCCTTTAAATGCTTTATCTTTTAGAAATTCAACGAGGGAAAGAACCAATTAGAAATTTTATTACTGGGCTATTGAGTTAGAGGAGGTAAATAAGGTTTGGGAGGGGTTGTATGTAATGTACTCTTGTAGTCAACAGGCATTGTTTAAAGAAAGCAGCCATTACTACTTTGTTCATATCTTATCCACTACAGTCTCTAGGTAATAAAATACTAAAAGCATTAATGTATTATTTATACATGGAAGAGAACGAAAACATTATGAACTAGCCTCAGCCTTTATCTTCGTCCAAACCTTTTTGGTTTGTTAGTGGTACTAAGGACAAAGGAATAGTTTGGGCATGTGGCAAACTGCGAGCTTGGGCCCAAAATGGCCCCCGCCACCCACAAATGGAACTCAAAAACAGGCTTGATAAAAAAAACCTGTATTGAGAACGTCCAAAATGGATTGAAGTATAGAGTAAGGCAATAGGCCAAATCACAAAAGCAAAATACTTAAACAGCCCACGTGGGATAAGACAAGACTGGTCCATCCAGTCCAATGAATACGGCAATAACCCAGCGGGAACTATGTCTTCCTTCCAATTCTACTCTCTTCCTTTTTTTTTCATCTGGTCTTTTGTCTGGATTTCGACTTCACAAATGAAGACCTATCATGACCGTACACGTGTACTCTTTTCTTAACGATGCTTGCCCTGACAGCATTCACCCACCACCGATTACCCTACCTGCTGCATGTAGACCCATATTATACAGATCGTGTCACTTCGATTGTACTAATTGATTTTGTTACCCACCTATTCCATTACAAGAAAAAAAAAAGTTGAAAATGAGACAGAAAATTTACAACTTGGATATTTTCTAAGATGATTAGTGGGGTTTAATGCTTCAGCCAAACCCAAGAGACTGAATAATGTATGCGCAAGAGCTCTGTTTGGTCAAAGAATTTGAATTTTATTGTTGCAGAAATAATGGACTAAAACTTTCACCCATCATCTACTCTTTGAAAGTCGGCAAGGACAAGCTTGGAAAGGAGTAAATAAGGCATAAAACCTTTAAGGGGTTGTTGGGATGAAAGTTGGGATTGGAAGTGGAAAGGAGTTAGTGAATATAAGTCCCCCCCTTTTTATATATATATATGTTTATTTATTTAGATGTAATCATAGATAAAGTTGGAGCGAATCAAATCCAGTTAGTACTTACAAATTTTTACTCGAAGCCTAATTCACTCATAAAAGTTTGGGTAGGTCCGGTCATTATTTAAAAATATTAAAATATATTATATTAATATTTTAATTTTATTTAATAAAATAATAATTCGAATTATCAGGACATAAGCCTTGAAATCCCTATTCAAAATCCAGTTCAAGTCAAACTCGGCCTGCAAGTCTCGCGAGCAACTCAACTTCTGAACATGTCTACATCCAAGTGAAGAGTCCATAATATAGTAGATAAACTTTAAAGATAATTTTATGATGCAAAGATTATGTTCACATCTCTTTTAAAGTAAAGAGTAGACAGAATTATCTTGTAACTTTTAATTTTCTTAAATCTCAAGTTCGAAATGAGTGAATTTCGCATCTTTAGAGATCATAACGTTTGTCCCTCTTGATTTTGTCGCGTCTCCATTTGGGGTTTTCAAAGTGAACCAGGATATCCAGTTCCAACTTCGCTTTGGAAAAGAGCTAGCTGATTTGAAAGAACTTTCTCTAGTAATTCATGATATTCAAACAATGGGAGGATGTTATGAGTTTGACGGTAATCGAAAAGTCAAATATTTTGGGTTCACTTGCCAACTAATTTGAAGAAAAAATTGTGTCCCAAAGTTAGGTGACCACCATGTTTGTACGTGAAACGTGGTTATATTGCTAGATTCAAAGTTATGCACCAAGCAAAAAAAGAATGAAAGAGTTGGTTTTTGAAAGCAGATTTAGATCAACTCTCATCTTCGAAGAAACTTCATTTTTTTTATTTTAAATTGTGGATTAATGAACTTTAAAGGCAAACAAGGAATTCAGGCTTGACTTTCCAAAGCTTGTTTTTAAGTCCAAAACGTCCCACACGCCGTTGGGTTATTGTCATTAGTGGGGTTTTCTGGGTGCCTGCAGGGTTGAACGTGTTATATTATTGATCAAGAAACAACAAAACAAGGTGATGCAAGTGGGGGGGATTGTAGCTTCTTCTGGCCGACATTTAAAGCGAGCAAAAGTCTGCCATCGAGAAGTCACTGCCAAGCCATGCATTTTGATTTTGTCAAGTGTATCGATTACTTCTATCTCTTAAACTAGTCTGGCTTCAATGAAAAGCTATAGCAACTTGTGAGCTAACATGGGACCCCCTCCATCCCCAACTTGTTCAAACGGAAAGAACAGATCGAATCGAAATGGGCAGTTTCAAAAACTTCTTCATTGCCGTACCTTCTTTTACTAATTCAAGTTTAACACGAAAGTGTTTTAAGCATGCATTCATGGCAAGGTTTAACATGCTTTTTAATCAGTTTTACATTGCTCTTCCCCTGAAAAATCTTGAGCTTGGAAAAGTTTATCTCCGCCCCTTCTTTGAATCCCTTATGTCTCGAATGATGGCGGGGCAAAGCAGCAAGGGACAGCGAATCATGGGTGGTTGGTCTAACTAAGGATCTTTGTCATCCATCTATTTGCGTCAAAATAAGTCTTCTTTTCGGCTTGAAGGCAATGGTAGTGCCTGTCTTGTTCTTGCCGTTAAACAAACTTAGCATCTTAGTAAAGATGCTTTGAGCCTTTTTTCAATTCACGCTGGTCTTTATTTGATCTCTCTGATTATAATGTTCCAGAATTCCTCTTCTGATTGATCTGCATCACCAACCAAATTACAAAAGGGATCGTTACAATCCCTAAACTCCAATTACCAGCTAGAAAGACTTTGCTTCAAGGTTTCATATTGTATTGACCATGACCCATACCTAAAACTCACTTCCTAAGCATATATATATATATATTGAGAACGTTAGTATTTTTCAGTTAAAAATGTAGCACTCTGTTAAAAGATCATGCAACTGATGGAATCACTGATATTTATGGCCATGAAAACCAAGTTGTACTACTTTCTTTAAACAATAATCAATTGGCTAAGCTGAAAATTTGGATTTCCCCAGTCTTACAAGTTTCTATACTTAATTGACAACTTTTTTGGGTTTGAATTCTATCTGTGATAGTTTGTTGAAATTATCTCAAATACATAATTTATAATTATTTATTTTAAATTATCAAATTTAATATATATATATATATATATATTATTACAACATATAAGATTATATGATCAAAATTACTTACATAGATACCTAAGTGGATAATCTCTTTTAATGACACATAAGATAATATTTATATTATTTTATTTATCAAATAAAATATTTTAATAAATTATTTAAATTGAAATCAATATCTATCTAAGATTGAAATTTTTGTATAAGATTTGAATTCAAATATATTAAATCGTAATTTATATTTTCTTTTTAAATTTAATGGTAGTTTTAAATATATATACTTAATAAAATTTTATTTTCTGTCAAATAATTATATTTAATAAATTATTTAAATTTAATATTTTTAAATAATTATTTAAATTCAAATCAAAATCTAAAAAAAATTTAAAATTATTTAATAGATTATTTAAATTTAATACTTTTAGATAAGTTAATGAATTATTGACTAAAAAATATTTATGTTTAAAGTAATAAAAGCTTATATCTTTGTATGAAAATATGATACATGTTAATGTTATTAAAAAAGTTAGATAAAAATATGTTTTTTCTTTGAAAACAAATATAATGTTTTATTTATATTTTAATTCAAATATTTTTATATTATATATTTCGTTAACTTATTTGTTTCTCTTTAGTCCATAATTTTTTAAAATTTTACTTAGATCGATTATAATTAACTTTTTATATTATATATTTATTTTTTTATTCATTTTTTTAATGTTTTTATTCTCTGTTAATTTATTAACATATCTACTTTTATTATTGTATATATTTAATTTTGACAAAATAATATATAAATTTATATTATCTATTTCCTTTTTCTATATTTTTTATTATTAAATTTCTTTGTCTACAATAGATGATATGAGAATAATGATGATCACTACCATATTTAACTCACAAAAAATACTATCATTTATATTAAAAATGATTAAAATAAAAAAAATATTTCAAAAAAAGTTTTTAAGCATAACGTAAATAATTATTGTTTCCCATTTATCTAAAAAATAACTGTATTTTGTCGACATATATAGAAATAATTGTTAACCCAATATATTTATGTAATAATTACTTGAAGTATGTCAAAATTAATAACTAATAGAAAGCAAATAATTATAACAAAATTAATAATTGTGATTTGTTGTTCTATCAAATATATATATATACCACTTAATCAATATTATGATAAAAATAATTTTTAATTTCAACTATTTAAATAATAATTCTTGATTTTTTATCAAACAAGAAGAAAAGGGTAGTAAAATTTTTAGTATTCAGCAAATAAATTAAAGAAAATATTTTTTAATGAAAAAAAATATTTTTATAATTCTTAAAAATTTACAAAAGTTTAAATTTTTTAGATGAATAATATTATTTATAATATGCTATGTATAAATTATCATTTAATTATAATTTAATATTTATAAATATATAAATATATATTAGATAAATAATTTAAAATAAATTTAAAATTATGAAAATTTTAATAAAAATTCCGTACATTATATGGGTTAAAAAAACTAATATAATATATTTTATTATGACCTTAAAATTAAATAATTTATCTACTTCGATTTAAAAAAAAAAAAAAGAGCTTTTTGGTTACTTACAACGAAGTAATCAGACAGGTCATGCTGTTGAAGATAATATACTTTATTATAAAGATGAAGCAGTGGATTTGTTCTGAACTTGGAAAATCTACTCTTCTGTCAGCATATATACATTACTGTTCCATATGTGAACACTGAAAATAGTCAAAGCAATGAATAATTCAATTATCTACCCAAAGTATAAAATAATTCATTAGGCCAAACCCTAGTTTTTTGGTACCCCAATGATGTAATTCTAGCTTGATTAATTGGGGCCTACTAAATTCAGGAAATAAAGGAAGAAAGGGCTTAAGCTTCAGAATGATGGCGCTGGGACAGTCATTTAGACTTTAGAGTCAATTTGTCCCCAAATGTTTGTTTTGTGCAAGATAGTAGTGAATCTGATTGTTTCTATCCCTATTCTCCTATTGATTTTATGATATTGGAATCGAAAATGAAGCAAAAATTAACGGGGAAAATTGCTGAAATTGACAATCACAGGTTGCTTCATCTTCTTTATTTCTTGCTTTGCCTTATCATCACCAGTAAGTTTGACTGCATTAAGATCGAACAAAGTTGCTAGACAATCTGGATTTTGCAAATCTTATTACACTTGAAAGAACCCGGCAGAATGCAAACAAAGTCAAATCTGAACAACCGAGTAAAATGATGAAAGTTGAGGCATTGAGTAAAAGAACTAATGATAACTTTTATTAGGAAAAATGTCCCTGAATTTTGAGGCAACTTCACCAATCAACCAAGAAACTTTTCTTACATTCATCAAAAGAACGTTTTGTCGTATTAAGGGAAGAACAAAAGCAACATGATTTTATGATAATAATCATAACCAAGAGCATTGAGGAGATAACATGGAATCAAAGTAAGGGAATGGTCAAAGAAAGAGGCGCCAGGTTATGAAGGATTTTCATTTCGTTTCCCAGACTGGAATTAGATTGGTTGGCTTTTATTGCCAACTGGGAAAACAAAGAAGTTTTAGTTTCTGGTCAGCTTTAGGGGATTGGCCACCCACTTGGTAGAGAAATTTTCAGAGGGTTAGGCATTAACATCCAATTTTTGATTTGGACAAATCTATTTGATGTTTGATTAAGGGGTAGTGCACAAAATAGGAGGCAACCTTGCTGGAGATGTTAATAAATAGTATAGCATTAATGGAAGTGCATTCTAATTAAATTAATTAATTAATGGATCATGCCATAAGCAACAGCAAGGTAAGGTAAGGTAAGGTTATTGAAACAACCTCCTTTGAAACTCTCCTCAAAAGTCAACACCTTCCTCCATCAATTCAAACGACAACCCATCAAACCCCCTTTTTCCTCTTCTTCCATAAAAATAATAAAAAAAAGGATAATTACAACCATTTAACCCCAACTATATATTAAATCTCAAATTCAAAACCCAATTTTTATTAATTACTTTCTTGAAAAAAATTAAAATTTATCAATATTAAAACTGAAATTGATTTCAAAATTGAAGCCATTGAATTTGAACATCAATCATAGTCTAAAAGATAATATATACATATTAAATAATAAAAATATACTACTTTTATATTTTTTATATTTAACATTATTATAATTTTTAAACTTAATCGTTTAAAATTAAAAATTTAACATTTTATTAATAAATTACTTTGAGATGTAAAAATGAAAAATGTTCTACAAGTGGCTGATGGAGTAAATTAAGATGATCAACCTATTTAGTTAGTTGCAGTGGGAAAAACAATAAAACCCTATATTTTTAGGTAGCTATTTGTATCAACCTCCCTCTTTAATAATTTTGTCAACCATTTACTTATAATTACACACCATCTGTCCCCCCTCCCCCCAAATTGGTGTACGGCCACAAATATGAGGGAAGGATTTAAATAAAATTTTTTAAATGAAATTTTTAATTAAAAATAATTAAATAAAAAATTAAAATTAATAGATTAAAAAATTTTATTATAATAACTGAACATATAAAATTTGAAAAAATTTATATATATATTTTTAGTTAAATATTTTTAATTAAAAATATTGACAATTTTTATTATTAAATAAAAATAAATTAAATTTGAATTATAAATAATATTTTTAATAATTTTTTACGTATTATTAATTTTCACACTAAAATTTATCAATTTATTTGATTAAAATTTTTATTAAATTACTTTTTTTAAAAAAAAATTATAAACTTCACTTAAAAACATTCCTATAAGCTTTCTCCCAAATCTCAATAGCATGAATGATTAACATGATAATGGCTACTCTGAAACATGAAAATCTCTTTTAAAGATTTCAAAATTTTGGTAGGACGAAATCGATTTACTAGTAATTTGTTTTGGCTGGGGGGCCAAAAGATCTCCCTTCGACTTTTAAAATATCAGTTATTTTAGGTGGGATAGAAAGCCATAACTAATTGTTTGTATAAACTAACTTTTGAATTTTTTTAATGTTTTTAAATTTAAAATTCAAATTTTAATAATTATAATTTTTACCATTATTTTAAAATTATGATCCCATTAAAAAATATGTATTTTATAAATTGGTGGGAGAGTTATAGGTGGGAAAAAAAGTTGATCATCAATTAAAAAAAAAAGCCACATATAAAAGAAAAATAAGACAATAAATAAAAATAAAAATAAAGGAGGGAAAGGGAGAAAATACTTGAATAATATATCAAAATTAAATGACTTGAACTAGACCTTGATCATGGCAAAAAAAAAAAAAAAAGCATACCTTGGTCATGGAGAACAAATTAAAACACTTGGCCATTTTGACAATGTTTTGGAACATAATCTAAATTGCAAAAGAAAAAAGTTTAAGCAAAGACACTGATCTTTCCCTGCATGATCGATTCGCTTGGCTAGAATATTAAAGCTCCCTCTTTTTTTTTGAAAAAAAAAAATAGTAAGCGCATAAAATAAACGTTAGAAACATAAGTGAGGAATATTCTTAGATAAAAATGCAAATTGTGCCGTAGGAAATGAATCATCTTCTTTACGATATGATGGCATGCCAAAAATGCAATTCAAGCATAAGTATATATGTTTTTTATTTTTTGGTAAGTTTTTAATTGTTATTTTTTTACTAAAAACATAAATAGATGATGGATATTGATAAATAACTTTAAATAGTAATTAATGTCAAAAAAAAAAAAAAAAACCCTTCCAATCGTAGCATATAGTTTGATGAGGCAACATTCAAATGAAAAAAAAAAAAAAAAAAACTCAAAAAAGGATAACAATAATAACAAAACAATCTGCAAAATTTTTTAAGAAAGAGAAAGAAAGCAAAAACTGATAGAATCAGGCAATAAGTGTCTTATCACCATGAAATATGACCATTCAGAGCCAAACACAAGTGTCGTTTAACTCATTCGGGTGAGAAAGCAGTAGCCAGTAGTATTCAGCAGGCAAGAGCAACAGCAGCTGCTCGAGAATCGAAGATTGATTTTACGGAGAGAGGGCCAGTGAGTCCCCCCATCCACAACCTTATCTTTGCTTTCATCATTGTCTTCTTTTTTCCCATCAAAGAAAAAGATGCAAAAATTAGAAAGAGACAAAGCAAAGTACATATATGATCAGACAGAAAAGAGAGAAAAATAATAATAAATTAAGAGAAAAATACTGCCATTAAACGTGGCGTAAGAACTTTCAAGAAGGTATTGGACAAAAAGCAAACCGAAACCATCTTTCTTTTTATTTTCACTTTTTCTCTGTTAGCAGCACTGAAAAGAAACTGGCAGGCATAACCCTAGCCATGTTTTCTTCTGGCATACGCTTAATCTCAACGAAGAAGATGGGAAAAATAAAAGAAACGATCAATCGAGTCAGCTGCATTATCTGTCAGCCAGTGGTGCAGCTGCTGCTGCTGCTGCTTGCAGAAGTGCAGAGATATGTATGATCAGTTTCAAACTTCAAAGCAAAGCTAAGCAGAGCTCAGCTCTCTCTTCCATTTGCACCTCATTTTACCCCAACAAATATTAAGGAAAAAGAATCTGGCAAATATCTAACATGTAATAAAAACAGAGAGAACAAAAACCCAGAAGAAATTTCGATTTTGATGTTTGACAAATTTGATAACCCACGCCCTAGTTGAAGATGATTATTCAGGGTCGTCTCAGCTCAATCGAAGGCAAAGCCAATGACTATGCTTTCTCAGCTTCTCCGAAGCTTGAAATTGTTTGAAGCACATTTTCTCTTAGATCAACAAAGAATTTAACTGATAATTATAAAATATCAAAATTAAGATTTAAGCAAAGGTAATTAATGATCATATGATGGAACAAAAGTACAAAAGACTACATAAACCCAAGAAAAAAGAACGGTCGTCTAAACCCCATTAATTCACAGTGCTCCCAGAGAAGAAAATTTTATAAGAAAAGCTCGAAAGGCTAAAACTTTTAACTCATTAGAAAGGCGGTGGAGGCGGTGGTGGTCTAGCAGTTGGAGCCCAAATCACATCTGATCCACTCAAATGACAACTATACATCGAAACCGGCCCACAAGAATCTGCCCCGCCACCGTGACCACTATCTCCACCGCCAACAGACAACGGCGGCGATTGCCCTTCACCACCACCACCAGACGACACCGTATTCCTTGCTTCTTCTTCTCCAGGTAACCGATGATAAGAAGGATTGTTAAACGTAGCAGCTACTATAAACACAGTGCCAACTGCTACCAACGAGCCAGCTACGAACCCTCCAACGATCTGCCCTTGAGGACCCGCCAAAGAGATTGAAAACGTGTTGGGCACATGACACGACGTCGTTTCGGGTAGGAACGTGGCGGAGAGGGATAAGATGTCTAATCTTCCATGGAAAGTTACGGTAGCTCCTGGAGTAGTTGAAGGCTGACGGAGAGTTACGTTGGAGACAGTTCCAGATCCTGCAAGTACACAGATTCCAATGTTTTTGCGACGAGAGAAGCTGGAAATAGCTTCGACGACATCGTTTCCTCCAGGGATTTCTAGAATGTAAGGACTCATGGCGGGGTCAGATTCACGAGTGATGATGACGGGTGGTCTGGGTTTGTTCTTGGAGCCAGGAGGTCGACCTCTGGGTCTACGAACGACTTCAATGGTAGACCCATCGCCACCGCTAGCACCACCGGCGCTGCCACCACTAGGGAGAGAAGAGTTGAGGTTGGTGGCCAGGTCTTTGGGGGGAGGGGTGGTGGTGTGGCTGGTGTCATCGGAGTCAGGGGTTTGGGAATCACGAGCGAGTTGGAAATGATGAGAGAAAGGATGATTTTGGTGTTGGTGTTGGTGTTGATGGTGAGGGTGGTGGAGTTTGGAAAACATGTTGGGGTTTCCATTTTTGGGTTCTACATACTCACCTTTCATGTCGTGGGGGTAAGATTTTTTTTTTCGAAATATCTCCTAATATTATTAATTTCTATTCTTTTAAAAAAAATAAGTTTCTTTGTGAATGCCTATGATTGGAGAGATTTTGGATGTAGGATTTTGCAATAAAATAAGGGGAAAATTAAAAGACAAGAAAAGAACAGGGGATTGAACAAAGATGGAATGGGCAGGGAGATGGGCTGTGGGGGAAGAAAGAAACTAGGGGAGAGATGAGAGAAAGAGAGTAGAAGAAACAGGAGAGGAACGTGGCGTTTGGATTTGTTTATAGGGGGGAACAATAAAGGAGGTGGGGGCGAGAGAAGGTTATTGATTGATAGCTACAGAATTGAAGGAAAAAAATAAGAGGGGGGGGGGGAGAGGTGAGCTTTGAAGCCAAGACTAATGGCGCCGCTGGTAAAAGTAGGGTCCACACATCCTACATGAGAGAGTAGAAACAAAGAGCAGAAGTGACAAAAGCGGAAAGTATGAAAGATTGGTTGTAACATATATATATATATATATATATATTATCATAGATGAAATATTTTTAAGATATTTAAATTATAAAATTATTAATTAATATAATATTTAAAAAATTATTTATTAATAATTTATTATTATTTAAAATTAATTAAATTATGAGTTGATATTATTTTAATTAATAAATTTATAACTCAAATATCATATTAAAATTTTTTTAAATTTATATATCATTTAATATTATATATTTATTAAATTTAATAGTTCTTCGTGACATTAGTCTTATAAAAAATGTATACAAAGAATTAAAAGAATTAATTGTTTTTTTTTATAAAATATAAAAGTTTGGAATTATGTAATTTGTATTTGTGATAGGGAAATGATATTTAAAGGTTAATAAATAGTTTTGAAATTAAAAAAAAAAAAGAAATTCAAATGGTTTTTGAAGAGAACTTGAATGATTAAGTTTAAAAGTAATTTATATGAAAATTTACTTTGTATTATGAGATGGAAACTTGATATTATACACTTTGCAATATTTTATATTTTGTGTGAAAATTTACATGTTGCATTTGAATGTCTAACTTAGATATTCAAAAACTTTTGAAAATTTAAAATTTTTTCAACATGATGTTTAATTTCAAAAATAATAATTCTTCATCTAAATCATATTTATTCATAAAAAATTGTTTTTAGTATCTACTGAACTTATAAATACTTTCGTTTAAAATATCTTTACATCTAATTTTTTAATAATCATTTTTTTTTAATTCATGATCCAAGTATTTTAAAGAAAAATTTGAAATATAATCTTAAATTTGTTCAATTTAGCATAATAACATTTTTTAAAATCTATTAACTCTTAAATTCTTAAACATGAAAACTAATATCTTTAAAAAAAAATTCTAAAATTCCTTATTTAAATTTCATCACTTTAAATTAAATTACGTTAATCAACTTAAGGATGACAACGAATCAAATCGAAGTGAGTTTTTATTCATCCCAAATTCAACTTGAAGAATTTTTTATTTTTTATATATAATTCGAATTAATATTATATAAATCGTACTCGATTCAACTCGAAATTAATAAAATATTTTTTTAAATATAAAATATAATTTTTTAATATAAATATAAAATTAAATAAATATATATAAATAAAAAAATTAATTAAAAAATAAAAAAAATATATTTTGTCAAATCAAATTAAATTTATCTAAAACTTGATCGATTTTTTCTTATGATTACTTGACTCAAAATTTAATTTAAAAAAAAATCGACCCTAACAAAATCATATTGAATTAAAATCTATAGAGAATGGATTGAGTTGCAAACCCTAAATCAACCCCATACACAATAAGTTAGCTCGGCGCACATTGCATTGCATTGGACGGCGCACCGCTTCGGCTTTTCTTTGTTCATGTTTGAATGGAAAGGAGAGAGTAGAGATTTGGCCCATTGGGTCCTAGCGACCAAGTGGATTGATATTGACTCCTTGATGCTCTTCTTTTAGGTCATGGGAGATGCCTTCACGCTCTTACCAATAAAATCGTTTTATTATTTGGGCTTTACCAAAATTTTCTTCCTCTTTTAACTCCTTTAAAGCAGTTCATCTTTGTTTTTGTGAAAGAGCAATTATTTTTTATTACTATCTCTATTAATCATACTTTTTACTATGATCACTGTCTAATTTCTAGCTATCTTGGACCCTTTTCTAGTTTTCTTACATCGTTCAGCTCACTTACTTTGACAACAGTTTTTCTTTTTCTTCCCATTTCTCATGTGCTCAAAATATTCAAACGGTTAGGGGGGTTTTCAAAGACGACTTTCCTTCTCTTCTTTTTTTTTTTTTTATTTTTATTTTCTTTGGAGGTTGTACAATACTTAATCAAAGTAAATTCAAAGCTTATAATAATTTTGCTTAGGAAGCAAAACTTGGATTTTTATACAATCCCCAAAAGTCAGAGAAAGATTGCTATTAGTATTACTTTTTTTTTCTTTTAAAATAAATGAAAATGTGGAAATTAAATATCAAAAGTGGACCCACCCAAGAAAATCCTCTCACATGCTGTAAACAAAGTAGGAAAAAAATGAAAAAACTTATATTCTCTTCTTTAACTGTTGTGGTAATTCATCAAGTGGGTGTAGGTTGAGTTGTACAAGGTTTGGCAATGTGTGTTTTTCTTAAAACAACATTGCATTTGAGTATTAAAATTTAAAATTTAAAATTTAAAATTATTTGACGTCACTTTTAAAAATAATTATATAATTTTGTTGAGTTAAGTTTCGAATTTACATTAAGAAAATTCTCTTTCATAGTTAATTTTACATTATCATTTATCTCAAAAAAAAAAAAAAAACATTACATTATCATATCTTCCTTTCCATTTTATTTTTATTTTATATTTTCAGCTCCACATATTACAAAGTCAATTAGAACCTAATTTAAAGTGGTATTTTTCAAAATGTTAACCTGATTTTAAATTATGATCATTATACTAATTAACATTTAAATTATAACTTAGTACTAGAGAATTGTAAGAATTAAACCATGCACCTAGAGTATATCACTTTTTGTACAATATTTTATATTGCAACATGACACTTTAATTATAAATTCAGCCTAATAATCTTAAAATTTGAATTCAAAACCTCCAAACTTTTACCATTCAAATACACCCATTAAAACCTATCAATTTTATCATTGATGATAATAGAAATTAATTCCTTTTTTGCAAGGAAAATATTATTTTATGAGAAATGATGCATTGTCTAGACTTAACAATTTAAAATATGATATGATGACATAACACGAATACGATATGAATAAAAGATATGAAAATGATGTGGTTTAAAATTTTAATAATAACTATATATATATTTAATAAAACAAAAATATATATTTTATATTTTTATATCAACACAAATTGTGATATTTAATTTTTATGTAAACTACGGTATAAATATATGAATTTTAATATTTTATATAATATGAATAAACAAATCATCGACCTAATGTTAAAAAAAAAAACATTGTTTCTTTTTTTTATTAATATGCTTACAGTGTAAACAATGAATCTGACCATTAACTCTTGAAAGTAGGTAGATAGAAGCAGCTGGGTTATTTATAAAAATGGCAAAAGAGAGGGCAGGCTGGGGTTCAAAGAAAAGGATTGCCAAGCAAGTCGAAACTGACTGCAGAAAATCTTTGTTGAAACTTACCCTTTTAAGGATAACGAAGTGAAGCTACGTAGCATCCACATGAAATAGTATTAATGCATGGTAAAACTCGACAAGTTAGGTTACCAACCCGAGCTAGCTAGATATGTGGTCCAATTAATTATCCTTTTGATCATAGCAAATGAGATTTGTTACTATAATGTGGGAAAGCATTCCTCAAACTGCTTTTTCCTTTTTTGTTCTTTTTTTTTTTTTTCATTAAATTCAATATTTCTAGCTAATTACTTTATCCTTTATACTTATTTATGAGTATGATCCATTAATTGTTATATATGAAGAATTTTTTTTTATTAGAAACTTTATTAGAAACTTCATAAACTTTTTCTAATACTTATAATGCGTTCTCTTATTTCAAATTACGATATCATTTATATATAAAAGAATATGATTATATAAATAATTGAGAATAACGAAATGATTATCCGCAAATGGTTAAACAATCGATAATCAAGCACTTTAACATTTCTCATAGATTATTAGTAACCATAGATAAAATTTTTTGCTTATGAAGATACTTAAAGAAGCATTGGGACCATTAGATTTATCTCAGATATAAGCAAGCAGTCATTGAAAGTGCTTTAGAACAAGACATTAAAAGAGGGAAGAGCAATTTAACGTAAGGTATGTCAAATGAAATTTTATAGCAAAAGCTTTGGTCCAAAGCATGGGATAACTTTTGCATGACAAAGGAATCAAAGGATACATTAAAAAGCAGAAATTGCTAATTTGAGTAACTAAAATCGAATAAGACATTTACGCAACAGCAACGGGAAGTAAAGCATTTACATTAATAAGGAAATTTTGGCATCAAACAACAGATTCTTATGACAAAGTAAAAGCCAAAAGGTGAAGCTTGACTTCGACGTTAGCTCCTTCTAATTGCTTTGGTATAAAGTGAAAAAGAAAAAAAAAAAAAATATATATATATATATATATGCCGTAGCAAGTTTCAATTAGATTAATTAACTTATAATTTATCCATATTTCTTTTGAATGAATCTTAAAAAATACTGAGAAAATAATTTAATTATTCCAGCTATGAAATTTGTGCTATTGTCGTGTTGGCATTGGCAATATTATATGAAGATTTGATATATTTTGGAACTCAAAGCAAAATTTTCTCTTGTTTTCTCTTATTTTATAATTTTTTATAAAATATATTATAAGTGCTGAAATTTTAATTATGTTAAATATCATTTTTTTAAAATTATTATAAAAATCAATAAAGATAAGTCCTAGATTTATTTTATTTTCTCATTTGAGTTTGTGAAAAGAAAACCAAGATGATGTGGGAGCATAGGCGTAATTTTATTTGCCATTTGATTACCTCAAGGACAACATTAACCAATCAAAAGGATAAAATCACGAAAGACTTAATATATGATCGCTAACTTGATGATGAGGTTTATGGAAAAGGGAAGTCGGATTAGCCAATTAGGTAAAAATTGTTCAAGTTGAGCCAAATCATAACGAGTCATTTTTTTGGAATCTTAGTAATTTCATTTCTAAAGCAAATGTAAAGAAATAAAAATAATTTCTTTTAAATAATACTATAAGAAGAAAAAAAATTAAATTATTGGTCTTGCCTAGTTAATATGATTGATAAAAGATAAAATGTGAGAAAACTGTCTAATTTAATTAATAAAAATACCCGTAAAATCAAATAGCATTTTTTTATTTAATGATTTTAACTAAATAATCATACTAATTAATTAACAAAATTGTTAGAAATAAATACGAAATTTAATTTAATCAGTTCATATAATTTTTTAAAAATATAATATTTAATAAATTTAAGATTTAAATTTAATATCTGCAAGATTTTCTTTCATCTTCGAGCAATAATTTTTTTTATATATAAAAAAAAACAAATGCATCAACTTTTAATCATTGATACATATATTCTACCATATTTCAATTCTTTCCAATTAAGGAAGGTTTGTTGTTTGAGATTTGGATTAACAGTCAACAACGCTTTGTGTAGTTATAGAGAAATACAACATCTAATTACAACAATCTTAGCACCAAAAGTCCAAAAAGCAAATGGAGAAAAGAAAAAAGAAGGTTGCCGATATGAATGGCAATTTCACTGGTTATTCGTTTTCAAGTATGAATATATATATATATATATATATAATGTATGTAATCAATTAAATAATCAAATAATCAGATTTGAGGATGGGTGAGGTAATTCTCGTCTCATGTATTTTTTTTATAATTAAAAATAATATATAATTTACAAAAAATATTTTACATATCACTTTATTAAATGAATTTTTTTATTTTATTGGATTATTTACTGTAAATTTAAGATATATAATTTATTGAATTATTTTATTATTATTTTTAAAATTATAATTAAGTACACAGATAAAATTTGGATTGTCCTTACCCGTCAAATATGATAATGGATATATAAAAATATTATTTGACAGATAAGGTACAATAACAAATATGAATATCATAATTGGAGACAGAAAGTATTATATTTGCCTCGACAGTGACCCTTTTGCCATTCCTGATTGCCGGCGTCAAAGTTGAGCTACTGCCAGAATAAAATAATGATATTAATACGAACTTGGTCAAATAATTTGACCGTTAAATTTGTATAAATAAATCACATAGGGGAATAATCAAAGTTCAAGCAGTTCTTGAAAATGATGTAAGTCTTTCAGTTTTATTATCTATCTCACATTTCGAGAAGTATCTACTGTTGTTTTTTTTTTCTTTTGACAATTCTTCTTATATTAATATAATTTTCCAGTAGTTATAAACCTTATTTTATACAGGCGAAATTTAAGTTTTGACCAGAGTACATTATTCTGTCGGCGATTTCAAGACAGCTCTTTATTGGTTGTAGAAATTTCGTATATTATATATATATTTGATATTTGATAAAAAAAATAATTTAAATTTTTAGATACCACTTCAGAATAATTGTAAACTTAAGTTTGGGATTTATATATATTAAAACTATAATTGAATAAGGGGATAATAGTATTATAGTAGTCAACAGCAATGAAAAAATAATTCAACGCAATCGTTTAAGGACAAATTGCCTAATGGCTTAAAATGACATTTTGATGGAAAATGTGTCGGATTGCTGGATGTAATCGTAAAGCATTTATTTTGTCTTAGGGAAAGTGGAAACCCCAATTACGAACCGACACTTAAAGACCAAAACCCCAACTTCGTGCTGCTGTGTTGCTGCCATGCTCAGGGCTGGGTCCAGTGAATAAGCCCACAATTTACCGTTTCAGTATAGGTAAACGCTTGGTCCCTTTGTGCCGATCCTAATATAAGTTTTGTCAAGAAGAACCCGTTCCACCTATCGGATTGGGCAAACCTGGCGGTATAAGCAGAGCATGGAAACTAGAAAAGGCTACATATAAGGTAATAGGGCAAGCCTGGAAAGTTTGTTTTCATTTCTAACGGAAAACTTGATCATGCCATGCAACTTTAGCAGGATTTCCTAAAGTAGGGCTGTCACCCTTCATGTTATCATTTAGGGGTTTTCATTGTGGTTTGAACGACTGTATTCTTACGAGCTGACAAGTAATTTCCCACAAACATCGAATTGTCTCTAACACAACATCAATACAAGAAATCAAATAAATTTCACCACATGATACAACTTAAAAATATGGTGTTTCAACAAAAACTGTATAATCTAGTGAACAAAAATAAAGTGACATCCAGGACCCAACAAATAAGAAAAATGCAGATTCCACCATATCATATTCTAGCAACATATGAATTGGCCTGAGTGACATATCGCACCCATCGATAAGGATTATAGGAACTAGATTTCTTTGCTATCTGCAAATATTTCACCTGCACGAGGAGAGCAATATTAGTATTAGGAATCTTTGAATCACTTAAACACAGAATTGGGGTTTAGAAACATTGTCCTCTTGCGCTATCAAGCTACTTGAGAGTTGGCTTTTACTATTGAACGGCAACCGTTATGTTTTCAACTTAAAGTCATCTTAGCTAGAGGTGGCAAAATGGGCACACTAGGTTGACCCTACATGCTATAGTGTCTAGCAAAGCACTATAGTGTGCCGGGCCTAACACTGCACATTGTAGTGGGCTATTGTTAGGAATGCGAAACAAATGGTCACATGACCTTTCGAGTGGTTTGGGGTTGGGCAATAGTCATCGTGTGACCATTGTGGTCGATTGGATAAATGGTAGAGTGAGATAATAGTCACATGAGCGTCCAAAAAAGGAGACATCGATCATATGATTGTTTTTCGCAATTAAAACAATGATGTGATAATTCTTCGGACATGGGTTGAGCGGGGAAGTGGGCCCAACTTGGTAAAAAAAATTTAAGCAATTGGTGTAGTGTGAGGTCAAAAGGAGTAAAAAGTAACAATAATAATTCAAATAATAAAAGTTCTTATAGGCTGCAGGCCACGAGCTTGTGTCACGGGTCGAGACTTAAGCTCTGAACCCATGCGGCTCCGGGACCCGGGCATTCACCTTTCTGGCGTCCCGGATCAGCCTGACCGCCACGATTCACATCCTTGTGAGGTATTGTCCGCTCTGGCCCCTCTGGTCTCACGGTTTTGTCCTATAAAAGGCGTCTCTCAAGACAGAGGTGGTGTGAACCCTTTTATACCCCAGTGACCCTCCTATTATGTTCGATGTGAGATTCAGGACTCTTCCTTAGGTCCGTGACACTTGCATCGTGCTGGCACTATGAGCCACGATTTCCCACGATTTCAAAACCCAACATGGTCCTTAACTATAGGCCTATGAACTATGCCTCATGCCCATTATGAGCTGAGTCGTGCCAAGCCTCTTGCTATCCGGTCCATTTTGCCACCTTATCCAAGCATTCTAGATGGCAAGAATAAATATAGGTAATATGGCTACTCAAAAGGGTTGTGATTGGAGTTGACAAAATGAGCGGATAGCACGAGGCATGGCATAGCTTAGCCCGTAATGGGCCATGCTTAACATGGCTTATAGGTCTATAGCTATGAGCCATGCTTGACACAAGTCCACAACAATTACTGAGATCGTGCTAGCAGCTCATTGTGTTAGCATGACCCATACAGTCTATGAGCTGACCCACAGTCCATAAAAACCTTTTACTATTTGAATTATTGTTAGAATTTGTTACCCCTTTTAACCCCAACCTCAACACCACACCAATCATTCAAATTTTTTTATTCCCAACAAGTTGGAGCCACTTCCTCAACCAGCCCACTCTCCTTGTCCCAAGAATAGTCACATGATTGTTTGACTCAGAAAAGCAAACAGTCATGTGATTGTTGTCCCCTTTGCAAACGTTCACGTAACTATTCCCTCACTCCTACCATCTATCAACGGACTACAATAGTTACAAGATGACTGTTGCTCACTTCCCATACTACTTAAAAGGTTATGTGACCACTTCTTCCCCACTCCCCCAGCAATGCCCACTATAATGTGTCAGGCCAGGGGCAGAACAGCCCTTAAGATCTATGGGTCACAGGTCGTCCTAGGCCATTCATCGTGAAAATCTAGACCATGCCAGCATGGTTGATATTTTAATCATGTTGGGTCAACCCAGCACACTATAATACCATGCCAGACATTGTAGCATACAGAGTCAGCCCAACCTGCTCAATTTGCCACCTTTAGTTGTTATCCCTGATTTAAGAGCAGAAATTAATGACCATGCTTGCAGAGAGAAACAGGGGAAAAAAGGGATGAAGGAGACGGGGTGGGTGGGCTGGGCCTTAGATATTATCCTAAACAAGGTCCCAAGACAAGTAATATTTGCAATATCTGTCAAGAAGACGGGCAACTGATCAGACTAAAAGAATAATGCTCCATGGACATTGACACTATTTCAATAGCATAACATAAAAAGAACTAAGATTTAAGAATTCCTAATTTAGAGCCTGCTCCATTTTAAACCTCTTCCATCCCAGGCTTTGTCATAGATTCATTCAAACTTTTGCTTGTATCAGCCAAAATATGGAAGTCTCAATCCTCTAGGCAACTACCACTAGACGATATCATTACCTGAAGCCTTGAAGCATTATACATGGGTATTGTGAAAGTCATGCTAACTGGTCCAGCTTCCTTTGTGATGTTTGCTGAATAAAACCATAAATATTTCATCAATGAAAATGAATTTAACACAAATTCTCTAATGAACTTAACAAATCGAGAAAGATAAAATTTAGTAAAAAGAAATTCTTTTCAAAATAAAAAATATGTATAATGCATACCATGCGATTCCTGTGAAAATGTCAGCTTTGCACGAAGTGAATGTTCAGATCCACCAACGATCTGTCAAGCATTACAAAATGATGATTATAGCGAATGGGAAAAAGCCACTACATAATTGAATTATTTGATGGTAAAAACTTCTCAAAGCATCACTAAAAAATTTACCTTCTTTAAGCCCCATTCAAGTTTCTTGTTTACTTCTTTGAAATCTGTTCTTTGCCCAATAGCCCCAGGTTCCAACTCAAAACTAGCTCTGAAATTACCGAGTACAAAAGATGTAATCCACAGAAATATATCCATTTATCTCAACACTTACGACATTGACAATTGGAAAAGGAAAATACCTGGCAGTATATTTAGGAAGTGGCATCTGTACAACAATTGTGTTTGCAGTAATGTTTGAGGGGAACTCAGCATGTACTTTAAGAATTACTTCAGCCTAAAATTTCAGTATGAAAGCATAAAAAACTGATGCAGGAACAAAGCTATGAAATTTCAAATTTATTCTAAAACGAAATGAATTATTTATATATGAAATATGTTTTTTTTATATCATTATTATTTTTAGGAGATATCACATGCTTATGAAATATGAAAAAAAAGATATAATGATATCATCATGATGAATGGAAAGTCAAGAAAGACAAGCTTGCCTTAAGGTGTCCTGCTTCTTCAATTAAACAGCTAATACGGAAAGGAGGCTTGAATTCCTGAGTCATTCGGTAGTTCATGACAGGAAATTCACCATCCGGTGGCACCTGAAAGACAATAGCAGAATAAAACATGCCCCTAAACAATGAAAAGATGTTTAATAGTCTCTTCAATCTTTTTACAGTTTTCTAGCTGCTATCATCTAAGTTTCACTCACCAGAGCCAGAGTCCTATCCATATCGAAACTATCAAGACGCACTGATTCATGAAAATTACAATCATCAAGTATCACTACCCCTGCACCAGATGAACTCCGATAATCTGCCACAAAAAAGCAGACCCAGAGGATGGCAAATCATTGGATTGAAATAGTGGATGAATGGTAGAGACACAACGTAGGTTAAATGATATGTTGCCTAGAACATGCACATCAAAGATAATAGCTGCAACATGTTAAAGTTGAGAATCATGGCTGAATATAATATACACTCAGACAAGAAAGGAAATAATCCTCTCAAAATAACCTTCAAAAACTAATGTCATCAAGCACAAAAACAGTTACAATAATCAGCAATCGTTAACTCTTTGCAACGAAAAGCTTGAACATAGCACCTCTATGGAAAGACAAATTTCAAAAGAAAAAAACACTGTATAATCAATAGGAATGCACGAAGGCAGTACCATAGACCGATCCTCCTCTTCCTATGCTCAAGTCTTCATTAAGAGCTAATCGAATTTCTGGATTTCCTGTCAGAAAACTTTTCATTTGAATAGTGCCATCAATCTCGGATGTCAGTATATATCCCTGTTTCAAACATCAATGAACTGGTTAACAGTGGTTCACACAATTATGCACTAGATGATGGGAGCGTGTGTTGAATTGGTTAACAGTGGTTCACACAATTATACACTAGATGATGGGAGTGTGTGTTTGGAATGTAACTTTTTGTTTAAAAAAATTTATTAACTGCAAATAAACTACAGGAGAGAGAGAGAGAGACTAAAGAAGATAATGACGAGAGAAAGAACAGAATGGTAGCTATTTAACTTTAGTTTGTTCAAAAAGAGAGAGAATGAGAATAAATAAGAATAAAAAAGTTTAAAAAAAGGATATCCAAAAGTATTTAATGAAACCCAGTTGGTCAGACACCAACTCAACCAGCAACTTTATGCATTATCATTAGATTATAAACAACTTATAGCTAGAAATTTGAACAATTTAAGATGTTGAATGCAAATAAAAAGAATTTACTCACACTAGAGCTAAATGTGACACTGATTTTCTCAATTATATCCACAAAAATTTCCTCTCTCTTCCGACCTCCAGGCTCATTTGCTACTACAGACTTTGTAACTGCTGTTCCAGGCATTCTTTTGGTTCCTTGCTGCATGCATCCATATATGATAAATCAACTGCTTCACAAGGTCAAGTTGATAAAACAAGAGAGTACCATTTATATGAGGGTTGATAACCAGGTAACCTCATCATACCATAAAGATGGCAGCAGGGCCAAGAGGTTGCAAACGTGCAGCATCAACCACAATTGGCTCATTAAATACATAGGACTTCAAAACTTCAGTAGATGTTGTTTGTACATAACCGAAGTCCTAGTGGGAAAACAACAGTAGCAGATGTGTTTAAATCTTTTTCAGAAGAACAATCACAATATATAATTAACAGCAAAAATTTCACCAGAATTAAAGAAAAAAAAAAAAAGCTTAGCATATTTCATTGGAGAAAAATGTTAAATTTTCTAATGTACAGATAAATTCTAAAATGCAGTCTATTATAAATTCATATTGAGTTCTGCTAATCCATGATGCAATAATCCCTTAGTAGTTGGTCAAGAGCAGCAAGCCTTTTAAGAGAGAGAGAGAGAAAGAACATAGCAGTTAAGAGTTTAGTATGAAAAGAAACTTACAATGACTTCATCAAGCAACTCATATACAAGTACAAAGTTTTTCCGAAGTGAATCTTCACTTAAAACCCCTAAATAGTCTTTAATGACACGGGCAACCCTTTGCAGAAGTTCCAGGACAAGAGATGGTGACACGTTAACCCTTGTGGTTGCAACAAACAACAGCCCAACAACCTTCACATGGAAGTAGTTCACACCATCTACGTTCTACCGATGGAAAATAATTATTCAAAAGTATTAGGGAATTGCACCAGCTTGGATACCACAATAATCAAGTAAAATATAAATTGGATTACACTTGCCGATGATATCAAAAATAGGAGGTAAATGAATCGATCTAAAATTCAACATATCAAGGGGGATATGTGGACAAAATACGTTTGTTACTCCATGTAATGCAAATCATCTCATTTGTTCAGCCAGTACAAAAGTATATTGCCTGACATTACATTCTTTAGTAAGATAATACCTACAAAGACAGGGGGTGCCTCCTCTTGTCCATCCTCTTTCCAAAACTTAACTTTTCGGAAGAATATCTCTGCACTTCCTTTCACTACTTCACCACGATCTGCAGTAAAAATTATTCAATCAGCTTTGCATCTTGGGCTGTAAAAATCTTCCCATTCAATAGAATCAAACCACAATTATAAATCAATCTTATAAATAATAATTTATACTTATCTTGCATAAGGTACATGATAAAGTGCAAATTGTAAAAATTCAAATAAATGTCAAGAAATTTCCATAGGCATCATGAATTTCAGTATCCAGAAATTCCTATATAGTTAGCCACGCCAATTATTCCTAATGACTTTATAGAAATATAACATGCAAAATCAATTCAAAGCTTAAATAATTCGTTTATTACTAAAGAAGCACTGACAGGTGATCTACATAGATTCGAGAATCAAGGTTTAAAAAAAAGCCAAAAAATGGAGAGTCAAATTAGCATAAATTATACTTCAAAATGCAGCATAATAGAAGGATTATTTGCAATAATATTTTCTATCCAATTGAATAGAGCATGGATCGAATATGAATTAATCCAGATCTATAAACTCAACTATCGCGTCAATTATTGAGAAAAAAAAAAACTTAAAAGGAAAGGATCTCATTACAATTTCCATATCGCGAGCTTTCAAAGAGAAAATTAAATAAAAAATCAAAAGAGAAGGTGACGTTCAGATCGAAAGAGAAAATAAGAGGAGAGTAGAAGAAGAGGGACTGACAATCGCGAAAAACGATGTTATCGCCTCGCTGAGAGAGTACGAAGAACTGAGATATCATGATTTTGGGCTTCCGACTCGTCTCCCCGGTTTTCTTCTCTCCGTAAATTGACCTTTGGTTTTGAGTTCTTCGGTGTTTCTTTTTAAGTTTGGGCTTTGTTTTCTTCTGTTTTCTTTACCCATCGCATTTGTTTCCCTTACCGCTTTTATTATAATTATATTTTGACCCCTTTAGGATTTTAAACCTTAATTTATACCCCTATAATTTTTTTCATCCCGGAGGAATATCCAACTGATAATTACTTTTACAGATCATAACGGAGGGGTATTTTCTTTTTCTCCTCCTGGAAAAGACTAGGGTTGATGGATGACTTTGGCTCCATTGGTTTCAACTTCACCTCAGTGAAGTGCCGATGTCAACAAAATTTGTGCTTAGTAATGTTTAACATTCGTTTGAATGTTAAAGTTGCTTCACGTTTATCTACTTTTATTCACTGGAGTCACTGGAGGATTTAATTCCAATTGAAAAAATGCATTGGATTTCTTCTTCTTTTTTTTCATTCTTCATTTTATATTATAAAGAAAAAAATATTTTTATACTTTATTTTTTTTATTTAAAATTATTAATTTTTATAATAAATAAATAAATAAAATTTTAATTATTTTTTAAATATTAAATAATTTAAATTTTTTATTAATATAATTTTTACTTCAATATCATTTTTTTTTTACTTTATCATTACCTTTGTTTTTATGTCCAAACACATATTTTACCATTTATTTTAATTTTAACATTATAATATTCAATCTTATTATTATAATAAATAATCTTACTTTCATTATTATTTTTAATCTTATCGAAATCAACTTCACTGTTTATTCAAATGAACTTTGAGAAGTGATTGTAACATATAAAATCGTTTAATTTTAGAAGAATCTGAGTTTTAGTATATTATTAGAGCTAGTGTTTAAAAGTTATAAATTTAAAAAAATTTATTGTGTAATATCTTTTTCAATTATGTAAGCATAAAAATAGAGAGATTTTAAGTTTAAATTAAAAGTTTCCAAAGAAAAAAAAAAAGAAAGCAAAATCGGTATTACTGCCAACAATTGTATGTAATATATTTCAGTGATTAAAATTCAAATCTTAACATATCAAATACCAAAAAAATACGTATAATAAAATGTGGCTGATCTTTTTAGGAGAAGTATATCTTTCTTGGTCCGTAACAAATTTTGTTCCTTAAAAACACCAGCAATTTTATTTACATTTACTATCTTTTGAGGAAGGAAAGATTTATTAGACCGCATGTATTACAATGGATTAAAAAGGCTAAGAACTCAGCACCAAAGTTCTTGATCTCTGACTAAGGACCTTCCTCTTTCTTCAACACTGCTTCCCTTGAAATCAAGAGTCCATTTCTCAAATGTACAGTTCAGAAAATCATAGTATCCTCCATGAACGAAAAGCAACCCTTTCCTCACCCTGTCTTTAATCCATGGATATGTTAGCAAGTTCAACAGCGAATGGTTTATGGATTCCTGCAACAAATTCAATGGAATTATCATGTTGGATATGTATAATCCCTCCATTAATATATACTATGAAGTTTCTGTTACCAAATTTTGAACTGACCTTCTCACAAATTCTGCATTGTTGATCAAAGTTAAGGTGGTTTGCCGCGGCTTCTGTTCTCAACTTGGCAATTTTCCCATTAGTAACCCAACTTTTGATAAAACTGCTCAAAAGAAAATAAGCTGCAATGAGAAAGCTGAGCAGAAAATCTGGTATGAGATTAAACCAGAAACAATGACACACAACAGAAAAGCCAAAGAGTAAGAGGAGTTATATCTCATCACCTGGAGTCTCCATTGTCTCGCATGCTCATTAGGGTTTGAATTCCTCCACAGCAACTGTGACCAATGATTAATATGTTTTCAACCTACTGATGGCAAAAACCATTTTGTACATCCAAATTAAGGAAGATCACGTTACGCGAAAGTTGTGACTTCTGAGTTTTGATCTACATTTCTAATTTATTCATATCATGCAGCCAGTTTAAAAGCTAGTAAACCATTGTTTCATAGAGAAAATCATGAAATTTCTATCTAATTCTGCATTTGTTATCGCCTGACAAATCAGTAGTTCAAAAAAAATTCATTCTTCATAACTACATAAATTATGGCTTCAAATATAGAAATTTCGTTTTCCAGAACATAAAATTTCATATGTATCTTAATCTTGCAAAAAATGGCTTACTTCAAGAGTTTTTACTGCGAACTCGAGGGCAGCATTAGTTTCTGATGGTCCACTCTGTGAAAAGGAAAATAATGAACTGTTAACTATCTGTTTTCCATGCTTTAATAGCATGATTGCTTGGCTGCTTTTGGAAATTCATTAATTTCAGTTTCAGTTGAATATGATAAGGAATTGAGATATTGAAAGAGGAGTGTTTCGGTAAAGTTAAGCACCATGGCCAAATACCTCAACTGGAGGAACAAGATTTGCAACATTTCTGATCATGAAAGCTTCTCCTGGTCGAAATCCAAGGATCGTAGAAGGGCATACCCTGGAGTCTGCACAAGCAATTACCATAAACTGTTCTTGAACTAGTTAGTAATTGCTCAAGTTTGATATACACAATGAACATAAACCGATGAGCGATGGAAAAGGGATAAACAGATAAAGTGAGTTCTTCTGTAACCTTGGGTGATTGAGCTTCTTTAAGGGTTTGAAAATGCTCCAACTCTTCCCTGCTTAAAAAGGAAATTTTAGCAGGCATACCAAAAGAAAACCCATTTTTATTCAAATCAAGGAAAACCCCATATGCAATCTAACTGCTAAGTGGGACTTACAAATATTTGTGCTTTTTAAAACTCAGAAATCTCCGTTTCAACTCATCAAACAAGTCCAGCCTCTCACCAGAATTATTCACATTTTGTACTTTAGATCCTGTGAATTCTTGTAGTCCAAGAGATTTGCTTGACGCCTCCGACGACGAAACTGGGGGCCTCCTGTAGATGGAGGCAATGATTCAAGCAGGTAATGCAAAAGCAAAAATAGAAGAAAATTCAGGGAAAAACAGAATGTGGAAGTTATATATGCACTGATGCTTGCCAGTAAGGAATCCTAAGTAACATTGGGTCAATAACAAAAAACTTGAATATGTAATGAAATGGTCTCTGGCCGTGGAAATTCATCAACTGAAACCACCCTACAGCCTCCCGGTATTCAATTTTACAAGAGGGGAATAGGTGGGAAAGGATTGGAATTGGAAAAGTGAGCAACTGCTGCAACTAAATATTTAAACATTGGGTACTCAAGAATCTAATATATCTTCTTTTCTACAACAAGATCAAGATTGATCTCGGAGGCTGGAGAATTAACAAGCTCAAAAACTTAATTTTAATACTATACCTAATGATCTTGGGTGAAGATGATGGTCCTGATTGGATATCGTCAACATCATTCATTCTCATCTGTCCAAGTATATAGCAGAAGGAAAAAAAAACAGAATTCATTAAGTACACCTTTTGGAATGAAAGATTGAATCATTTAGGAAAAAGGAGACAAGAAAAAGTTAGAAGGAAACGCACTGCCTTTGAACGAAACCATTTTCCTGGAAAACTGCAAACAGAGCGATCAGGAAGATCAGGGAAATGTGAGCAATGAAAAGAGTCGAAGGTTGCCCTTAATGGCCTTATTGCCGATAAAAGCAATCGAGCATTGGGGCCTGAATTCACGTTTAAATGTCAGAAAATTAAACCTCTCATCAGTATATACTCCATGAATTTATGATTATACTTACGGATTAACCATGCCATTTCTCTTCCGGCCTTTGCATTTGCTACGTGTTGAAGTACCTTAGGACACTTAAATATTTCCTTTCTATTTTTCTCAAATGCATATCCAACTGATCAGTTTTCCATATCAACACGTAAAATTTTCCTGTTGGTATTCTTTTTTTTTTTCCAGGATTCTTGGCAGCTTTGGCTATCACAGATATATTGGAAGATAGTAGCGTATATTAAAATTATGAAATAATAATAATTGAGAGGGTGACGAAGACGGCCAAGGCATGCTTATCCAAGCAAATCAAACACCGATTGTTATCCAATCTTTGTGGGATCTGAACAAGCAAAACCCTTTCTTTTTTTCCTTTCAAATACTTTAAAAATGGTCCCCCTTCACCTTCCCCTTCCAAGTTTAGGGTCAATATTCAATAGTCATGCAAGCAACAAACAAGTGGCTTATCCTTTTCCCGAGCAATAACTTCCAAAGTATAAGAAAGTACTCAATTTATAAGAGATGCCATTTTTTTATATTTTAATTTAACTATATATATGGTTCACTATTTCATATGCTGGAATGTGCATATAATTATAATCATTTAGTACTCTGTCTTCATCATTTATACACACAAATTAACACTTCTTTTAGAAACCAAAACATGCTTTTTCTTGCTGTGAAATGAATGAAAATTATTTCAAGAATTATGAATTCAGGACTAAGCTATAGAGTCCCACTTTTTAGGGTTGAATAAAGTAGACAAAAATAAACAAGAATCAAGTATATCGTGGTGAAATGTCATATACGAAGAAAATCAGTTAAAACCAATTAGTAATAACAAATGAAATCTTGAATCTATAATTTAATTCAATTAGTTCATCAATCACTTAATTTTCAATTCTCATTGAAATTTCTTCTGTACTAAAAAAACAAATGAAGCCTCTCTTATATTACAAACTATTTAAAATGATGATGATGATGATGGAGGAAAGGAAATCTAGCCAAAAAAATATGGAAAGGAAATGCTCCTAAATTATATTAAACCTTGTTGTTTTTAAATAAACACTGATTTTTCATTTTTTTTCTTTCGTTTTATATACAAAAACATAATTATATTGCTACTAATTTACTACTATCCTCACATAACAAAATCAAAAGCCACCTACCAAAAACCCATGACCACTTTCATTATCCGACCCAAAACCCCGAGCACGTTTATTTCCCACCGTTTGGGCCTGCCCAGAAACACGATTCTCCACCACATTCTTCAATGCCAGTTTCAACGGCCCAATCTCCTCATCATCACCGCTCCATTGCATCACCACAACGCTCTTGGTACGCCCACCAACCGTCGTCATCTCAGCCCGAACCACCTTAGCGTGGACCGACTTGACCACGCGACTCAAATCCCCGTTAAAACCTGGCCTATCCTCGCAACAAAGCGTCGCCTTCAACAACTTCCCTTTCTCATCACAAAAATTCAAAGTAGCCTCGTCGCATTCCCCTGGAAACGGCCACGACGTCTCAAGCTCTGATTGACTATTATTGCAGCAACCATCACCGTCACGCCGCCCCACGTCTTCCACTTGCCTCTTTAGCTCCCTCACGTGATGAACAACCTCCGCCAGCAATGAAGCCTTATCCGTCTATCCAAAAAAAAAACATCCCACAAAAATTAAATAATGTTAATTAATGTAATATCATATGTTTTTATTTTGTCAAGAACCTTGGGGGTGTTGGGGAGGAGAGAGCGTAGAGTGGAGAAGTGGGCGTTGATACGCTGCCGACGTCTCCTTTCAGCCTCTTTGTGACTCTTAAAGGCTTCCGTTGATTTTCTCTCTGACAAATTATTCTTGATGGAGTCGTCACCCTTCGTTAAGTTGACCGGGCTCTTGTTCTCCAAACCAGAGACACTTCTTAGAGGAAACATTTTTTCCTTACGATATTAGGGTAAAAAAAAAAGGATGAGGAAGAAGAAGCGTTAAGGAGAAGAAAAGAGAGTGAAACGAGACAAGAACTGTAGTTTAGAAGCAAAAGTAAAAGAAGGCTAGTACTTAGACAGGCACTTGGTTTTTGCCTTTTTTTTTTTTTTTACCGCTACAGTTGATAATGACTGTTAATAAAAGGTGAATTATCGTTATCCAAGGTGAGTGAGGCTTAGAGTGAAAAATAGATTCGGTAATTTTAAAGACAACACTATATAAAAACAAAAAATAATATAATTTAAAATTTTAATAAAATATATTTTTATATTTGACACACATGAGACAATATTTTTATATTTACACGTATTCAAGACATGATACAAATCCACGTATACCTAAAACCAGCCAAGGAATTTTAAAAGCCGGAACTAGTAAAGAACAAATAATGGTGGTCAAAACTCATTTAGCTGCTGGGTTTAGCCTGATTCGGTTGGTAATTCTGACTGTTAATTAACTTTGAATGAGACGATGAAAAGAGAAACGGGACGTGGTGGGGGAAAATCATTTTTTAAGCGGTAATGAGTCACGGCGGCACGAGTGACGGTGGCGCCGATAGCTTTTGCTCAAGAAGAAGAATCATTGAAATGGAGTGGCGCGGCCGACAATATATTGTATAATCGCTTCACTGCTTCACTTTCACTCACGTTCACTCGTTTCTCTTTTTGTTACCGTTGCTGCTGCTGCTATCACTGCATATATATTGGTTACTTCAACACGACAATATCATTTTTATGACGATCAAAGCCTGCTTCTTCTTTGAAGCCATGTCTGATGTCACTGTGTCAGTCAGGGTTTGAAATTTGCAACTTGTTTTTGTGCTTAGAATACAGATAATACTCGGTGCTTACTCTAATTTCATGTTTATATGTGTCGATATAATTTCTGAATTAATGATGAATACGTTTGTTGGAAGTTAAGGAAGAAAAAGGCCGGGGATGTTAGATATGATACTTCGGAGCGAATTTCGACGATTAACTCAATGACTTACAAGAGAAAGAATAAAGTAAAAAAAAAAAAAAGGCAGAAAAAGAGTTTAGTGAATATATTATTTATTTGCTTGGTATTCTCTTTTTATTTTTTATGAATAAAAAAAATTATTTGATATATTATGAGTAAAATTTTTTAAGTTTATAAATAAGGTTAATATGATGAAGTATATCTTAATTTTTTTAATTATTTTTTTTATTTTTTAAATATATCTAAAGACATATGTTATTCTGTTAATTTTACTTGCAAAATTAAAAAATTACATTGATAGTATATTTGATAATTTTTTTATAAATAATGATGTGATTTATTGAATTATTATATGTAAATTTTAAAATTTGTATTTGATGTATTATCAATATATAAATTTTATATACTATTAATAAATTAAATAATAATATTTCATGAGCAAATTTTAACTTTAAATAAATATATAAAAATTAATATTTTAAAAAAATTTATTCATTAATAAAATATTATCATATGATTCATTTTATTAATAAAATAACATAATTTAATTCACTAATAATGTATTAAATTTATTTAATAATAATATATTAAATATAAATCTTAAATTTTATTAATATGATAGTTAAAATTATTGATAGATATCGGGTTGTAATCATTCAAACATTTTAACCCACTTTCACAAAATGAGTTAAAAAAGTACACTAATTTGTCTTCTTTAAACAGGTTAATTTGGCCTTATACAAGCCTCAAACAGCTCTTTTTTGCATTGGTGACCAAAGATGGGACAAGTTTATTTATTTATTTATTTATTATTTAACCAAATAAATTTTAATTGAATTTTGAAAGTAGGAAAAAAAAAAAAAGGAAGAGCCAAACTGTAAAAATTGCATGTGAGAGTGTTCGGTTGACCAGCATCAGATCCTGAACACCGTAGAAAAGTGAGATCAATATCTGATGGCAGTGGCCCCGACAACATTTACAAAACGATTTCCTTCTCTTTCCCGACATCTTAAACCCCTACGAACATTCTGAACAAAGAAAACAAAAAACAACCTATGAAATTGAAATTTCCTCGCTGCAATTGGCATGTTGCTAGGCCCAACTTGTATCTCATGCTACCGACACTAAGCAACTAGTAATTCCCAAGTGAAGAATAGGGTTCTCTTTTTTTCTTTTTTTTTTTTAATCTTAATATCCAAGGTTTTCTAAAGGGGTTAAGATTTTTTTTTTACTTTTGTTTAAACCTACTTTTTTTTTTCAAAACGATTTTATGTTTTATTCAATGCATTCAAAATTTTATTTTCCAAATCTTAAAAAAAAAAATATCATAAATAATTGTTAAATTATAATAAAATATTTAATATGATACATAAATTTTAATAATTTTTAATATAATATATGAATTATAAATCTATTAATTAATATAATATTTACTTTTAATGTGTTTAATTTCAAATGATAACATATTACAAACAAACAACTCTTAAAATTTAACATTAATTAATAAATTTTTAATTATCATATTAAATATTTCACTATAATTAACAATCATTTATGAAATTATCTTTGAAAAAATTCATATCTTAAATTTTTTTTACCAATTAAAATATTTCTTGTAAGTGTATCTAAAGATTTATAAATACCAAAAGTATGGCTTTGTTAAAGATTAACAAATACATTAAAAACACTTGTGAAGTTATTTTTAAAAATAATTTTTCATCAAATATTGTGATTAATTTTTAATGTAATAATTTTCAAATACTATAATGAATGAAAATATTTTGTAAAATAATAGTACTACAAGTAACAAGTATAAATCTACTATCATAGTAGTAAGATATAGACGAGAGGTAGATTTCAAATTATTTATGCATGTAACTTTATTTGAAACGATCCTCAAACCTTTAATTTAGTCATTAAAAATATTAGGAGCATTAAAAACTTATTTTTCGAATCAAACTTTTTCTCTTTTCTAAGAGTTTGCCATCTCGATATATAAAAAAAAAAAAAATTACCTGGAACGAATAACATGAGAAGATCTGAGTGATGGCAGGCAAAGTCTGGTGACGTCCTTTCGTATTCCACTGCCAGTGGCAGTGTGGGACCAACGTCAGAACACCGTACTTGGCAGAATACTCTTCTCTCCTTCTAAAACTAAAAGCTGAAGTTCAAAGGTGACGAAAGAAATGGAAACGAAAAGGGCAAAGCATGATGTTAAAGAGATGGTACATTGGTTCCCTTTGGCAGCAAAACGGAAGGTCCTTTTAATGGCAAAGGGAACTTCAAACAGTGCTTTCAAACTAAAGGATGTTCCAAAAGCTGCCCACATCTGAAATTTGTGCAAGCAATGGCTCACAACACTTTTTCGACTTTGGTTCCTTTATAACCAATTTTTCACTTCACATCACAAGAACAAAGCGAAGGCGTGAGCAAAAGCACAAAAAAGAAGAGAGGGTAGGTAGGAGAAAAGTGATGTAGTAAAAGATGAATAATGCGGATGAGTGACAATCTATGGAAACTTTTACTATTAGCTGGAAAGTTTTTAAGTCTTTAGAAGATCAAGCATCTTTGCTCTAATTGCAATTATGGGTGGCATATTCGCAATTGTTGCCCAAACCCATTTCATCCGAAAGTAAATTTTCTTAAAAGTTCCAATGGAATTGACAGCAAATATGATGAACTTCAGGAAAATGCTTAGTATTTTACAACAGATTCTAGGATTTCAGTGAGGGAAGCTGCTACCATTGTAAATCTGCATTGTCTACTTTATAGCCATGTAATTGTGTCATCACAAAATGACTGTAACAGTAGGCATGCCATGCGACAAAATTTCATGCAACTTGCTTCGACAAACTTGGTTACATGAGTCAATTCTTTTGGAATGGTGAACCAGGAGGAGCAGTCAAACCAAGACCTTGCATTACTCTCATTCTTCGGGCACTTGATTTGGGAGAGTTTTCTGGTGAAGATATTTCCTGTGGGGTACAATTTACTTAAGAACTAAGTTTTAGCTCGAACAAATGAAAAACTTGTAGGAAAATTTTGGGAAAAAGAATTGTGTATACTCACAGAGCTTTGGCTATTAGTCTGTTCCTTTGACAGCTTATGTTGTTTAGAAGTTCTACTCTTTTTGCCATGGGAGCTTGGGCTATCTGGCTTGACCTTTTTCTGCTCCTCACCTTGCTTCGAAGTTTTGCCCCTTTTTTGTTCCTTTGAAGTAGAACTTTTAGGCGTTTTCTTCTGCACCGCAATTTGCTTAATAGCTTCCTTGGCACTTCTACTATTTGGCTCCATTTTCTCCACAATTTGGTTATTTTTCTTCTGCTTCTTTTGCACCCTCTCTGGCTCATTGGCTTTATTCTTAGCTTGTTTATCAGTACTTGGGCTCTTTCGCTTGAGTTTCTTCTGAATCTCATCTTGCTCAGAAGTCCCGCTCCTAGCTTTATCCAAAACATTTGATCCATTTCGCCTGGGATTCTTGATTCTGGCATTCTCTTCAGCATGTAGACTATTTGGTTTTAGTTTCTTCTTGTCCTTAGAAGCATCAGCTCTTCTATTTGCTAGTCCAGAATATAAGTTCTCATAATATCAAATGTCTATTTGAAGCCAAAAGTGAAAACTTCTAGCAAGTAATTGACAAGATGTTAATTCAATAAGCATGAGATGAAAACATCATTACAACACAAATTCGTATTAAATATGGCAATCCTATGAATATAATTAAAAGTCTAAGAAGCACAGCTCAGTGTGCATACTTTCATAACATGCTGATTCCATCATGAGTCTAGATTCTAAACGGTAATGCCTCTATGAAGATTCTATCAAATAATACTTTCTTTGAAGGTATCAACTTCTCTTTATTTAATTTGGAGGGAGAGCAAGGAGATAGGATATCAGTTCTCTGAAGTCAGAAGTTCCTAAACATTTGTTACCGACCAACAATTGCACAGATGTGAAGAACCAGTAGCTAAGTTACATGGGACAGCAATAGTACTTATTGAAGTGCACAGAAGGTTTCACTTTAATCAAGTCAATCTCACTTTTGGCTCACAAAGAAAAATCATTCTAAACAGATGCCAATATACCAGCTAAAATTAGTTTATAAAACATCCTAGGTTGCTTAGAGGAACTTGAATTATAGCATTATCCTATTGAGGTAATTTGTAAACGCAGATTATATCAAAACCAGAAAGTTGAACTGATTTAACACTTCAACTCCTCGTGTAAATAATGTACTTTCTGTTCAGGTCACAAAAATAAAAGCAATGCTTCTAAGACTCTGTTGTTTGTTTCTATAGTTTACTTTCAGGATAACAGTGCCACGCACACTATAACTTTGAATATTACTATCCATCAGATATTGACATCGACATATTCATTGCAATAAAGCTATCATATCATATTGTACAGTTGCAGCACAATAAACAATGATCTGATTACGAAAAGAGATAAGCAAAATAAAAAAGGCTAACCAGCAGATTTAGATCCTTGCCCCTTTGGTTTAATAGATTTCCTGTGAGAGCAATCCTGTGGCCAGATCCCAAATGATTGGAGAACCATAAATTACAAACTTTCAAAATAATTTGCTAACTATGACAGGCAAGTCTGTCCTACTAAGACCCTGCTTAAAAACAACACAAAAACAAGAGGCTTTTGATTGTTGAAAGGAAACTGCAAGGTAGAGGAAAGAAGAAGAAACCTATTACCTGCTCCAAAGCTTTGTCAAGAATGTCATAGCAACTACCATTATTCTGTTCTAGAATCTGTCAATGTAGCGACAGCATGAGAAGATGATCATTATATCAGTTGAATACAGTAACTATACAATCTAATGCACAAGAGTGGCCGAATCACAAAGATGGAAGTACAGGATCAAAACTTACTATTTTAAACTCAGAATAATATTTCATAGGGTCTGCATATAAGCTGCAGGGGACATATAACACGCTTCAATCCTTGCATGTTTTTGTTGACACATTTTAAATCCTTACAAGTTTTAAAACTCGCAAAATCCATCAAAATTCACACAGCATTTTAATCTTTCCTTCCTCTAAGAAACATAACAATCAAGTAAGGAAAGAGAGAACTGACTACTCATGGCTCCCATATAGACGCACAAGCACCTCCCCCTGTGATCTATTTCCAGGTTTACTGCTCTCACTAACACTGTTTTCATCAATAACCTGACACGATATCAAGTAGATAAATAAAATTCACAGAACTACATAATTCTGTTCAAAAGGCTAATTAATTCCTAGAAGGCTGGAAAAACAAGTTGCAAGACCAACAACCAATGCAATAGGCATACCAGTGCTGGCCACCATGAGTTTCCATGGAGTTTGACCCATATTAAATCTCCTCGCGAGACCTCCCCTTCCAACTGCAGGGCTGCAGATTCCCCCTCACCATTATTTTTATCATGAATTTTGCTACCTGCAGTACTTTTACCTTCCGTAGCTTGTCCTTTTTGTGATTCACACATAATCTAGTTTCAAAAGCCAGTATGTTTAAAGACACATCATACATAATCACTACTCCATCACAAAGAACATCAGCAAAATTTGCCACCAAAAAGAAAAATCAGCCATAAAATAAGATTTCCCAATATTGGGTCTAGTAAAACCAAAAAAGTAGAAACTTCACTGCATTTCACATTACACATTCAAGTCCAACAGAGTTCAGAGAAATGTTGACTTAAGCAAAGGTTACATCAACAAGGATTAATGATGAATGTCATAAAAACCCTAATAATTAAGTGATTGTATATACAAATCTTGATAGACACTGGAAATGGGATTTCTTTTTACCCTTTGTTTGGTTAGCAGCAAAAAAAAAAAGTGACACGAAAGAAAATTACAGAATATACTATCTTTTTCTGCCATCAACCAAGCAAAAACCAATATTTTAGTTACTCTTTCCTATATTTTCTCATTAAACAAAGTCGAATAAGCAAAAAAATAAAATAAAATCAAAAGCATAAAAGGAAATGAAAAGGATCAAACGAAGAACTTACCTTCAGATGGGAAAGAAGAAAATTTTGGTGAAAGAAGAGAGTGGGAGACAGTCGCTTTGATTGAAATGAAAGAGGAAAGAGAAGAGTAATTTAATTTAATGGGGATGGAACGGAGAGAGCAAAGAGAGTAATGGAAATTTCTCGAAAGAAGAACCCATTAACTTTGCTTTGGGTAACTGCGTCGTCAGAGTAACTTGACGTTACAGCTTTGCCTCCATTGCTTTTTCTTAAGTACTCACTATTTTCAGACAACTTTATTTGGGGCTAATGATGTTTGAGAGTTGAATGTTGTTCAGTTGAGGTCTGATGAGAGTTTCCTTTTCAATATGACCTTTCATTAAGACACCAATTGACTTCTAAAGTAATTTAATTATTAATAAATAAAGTTAGTATTATTACCCCATTCGTAGAAACCAATTATCCAGTGAGCTGTTACTTTTAACCCCATAAAACTTGCAAGGGTTAAAATTTATGTTGGGCTAATTCTGAAAAGCCCAAGATATATGCAACTAAAGCCCAAATTTTTTTAAAAACTATTTTTCAAATAAAGTTAAAAGTTAAAGCCGAAATTCCTACTTGCAACAAGTTGAAATACTCGTATACTAAAGACCAATTTAAAAACAATGATACGATAAAAAAAATAATATAAATGATATAAATTAAAATTTTAATAATTATTATATCTTTTATTTTTTATAATTAATATTTTACGTAAAATAAATACATAAATTATAACATCTATTAATTACTAAATCCTCACCTAATAAGCCTAACACAGTTGTTATTCTACAATTGAGAGTAAAATATTTTTCCAACATCAACGAAAAAATGTCTCACCGTGGATTACAACCGACAGCATCTTATTGCAAGTTCAAACAGTATCTCTTCCACAACAAGCGGCGAAGTGATGGGTCCACAAAGGTAACTCCTCCCCGATCCAACGACGATAGCAGCTGTCGACTCCCCCAATCGGCGGCATGGTAACATTAACTACTATGGATTCCATCACTTCAGTCGTGTATTGTCCATAACCTCTAATAGAGGATTTGTTCATTCATGTCGTAATTGCCAGCTGTAACAATTGATGACAATTCTCATTACCCTTATTTCAACTATTGCTAGTCGTAAAATACCAGTTATTGTCATTGCCCCTATTTCATTGACTGTCGGCGATAGCCTATCACTGTCGGCGATAGCCTATCCCAGTCGACACATCACGTTTAACCTAGTTGGTCAAACCACTAAGTCACTCTTACTAGCGAAATATGCGTTTTATAAAAAAGAAAAATAAATAATAATAATAATATTATTTTTATTTTTATTTATTTATAAATATAAACTATTTTAAATTAAAAAAGATAAGAGAAAAAAATGTATGAAAAAGTTTTGTACAGTTACAAAATTATCCATCATAGTAAAATTTTTTATTTTAATCTTAATTTACAAAAAAAATTATATTTTTTTTTATCTTTTCAACAATTACATGATATTTTGAATGTGTTTAATAAAAAAAAGTTAAAAAAAAAAAGATAATAATTTTCACATTTATTTATAAATACAATTATTTTAAATTAAAAAATAATAAAATAAAAATAAAAACTTGTGAATAAATGTAGTATATTTACAAATTATTTATTATATTCAAATTTTTTTTGTAAAAAAATTATATTAAGCATCAAACTTATTAACAATTGATCGTAAATAAAAAAATTTAACTTAATTATAAAATTATAAAAAATTAAATATTCATTAAATATGAGATAATTTACTTTAATAAATTATTTTTTATTTTTTATCTTTTGCACAACTACATAAAGGAAAAGAAAAAAAAATATTTTATATCTCCTTTTTTTTTTCATAATTTTCATCTTTTAATTTATTTTATCCTTACCAAAAAAACCTTACCGTGTAGACATAAAATTTAATAGCTCTAGCTTTAACGTAAAATGTTACATTTATATAAATTCTTTTTATTAAGATTCAACATATTTAAATCTCAAAAAAAAAAATATCCAATTGCTTAAAGAAAAATACTTTTATATTCGACCGTTCAGTTCAATCCAAACGTGGACCAATATGTCAAAAATCATTTCACAACCGTTGATCTCGAATTCCATGCACCATGGTCCACGATTCCTTGGAGTACATCGTCATTCCTCAAACTAAAACCCTGCATTTCCTCTTTTTTTTCACCCGGGTGTTAAAACCGCTCTCCTTTCTCAACCCAAACCTCAAAGGTGACTAATTGGAATGATATTTGTTGAAGAAAGTGTTAAAGCGAGTGTCTTAGGCTTTCTAATTCTTCTGTTTTGCTTAAGCTTTAGTTTACACTTTGAAATGTTGGATTTTTTCCCTCTTTGTGTAAATTATGATATACCCTTTTCTCTATTTTGAGGGTTTCAATTGTTTCTTGGTGTAAAAATTCTATCTACATTCTACACCATGGTTACCGCAGCTGGAAGGGGAGAGATGTCTTGTGAATTGTGATGTTATATGGGCCATGGGGTTGATTTTAACTTTTTTTTTTTCACTTCCTTTTTCTTGCTCGACTCTTTTTATCTTAATGGCTTAGAAGATGAAGGTCATTCATGAAAAGCAAGTGGATTTGGGGAAATATGAAATTTGTTTGTTTCAGTAAGAAATATAAAGTAGATTGTAAGCGGCAGAATCTACTTGATACTCCGAACCGTACCTTTCGCTTGCTGTGCTTCTGAATCTGCAGCAATCTGTGATACAATTGAAATCTGCACAGAGGAGATGAAAGAGGAGAAACTGAAAATGGAGCTAAATGGATTTGACTTACACAAGTCTACAGAGCCGTTGTAAACCTGCTTTTACAAGCTCTCCACCTCTCTGATGTGGAGTTCAACAGCTGTTAAGATGAAGGCAACTACTCTTGAAGCCAAATTTTCTTCTTCCTCCTCAAATATCACCAGCAACAAAAGTAAGGTATGGAGCTAAAAATCTCTCTAGATTACCCATTACCCGATTTCTTATGACTCAAGCTTGGCATAAAGGAAACTCTGTTTCCTCAACAGTTCAAATATGGTATATATGCCTGCAGTTGTGTTGAAGATATCAGCAAGAACTTACTATTTATGTGATGACAAATTGACAAAACAAACAAGTTGAACAGAAACTGCATCACTTGGTATGTTGCAGCCTGCAACATGAATTGTGAAAATAACAAATTTCTGTTTCTATTGTGCTTTATTTGTCTGTACCAAAAAGATTTGAGCTTATGCGATTTGTCTGTACGAAAAATATTTGATCTTATGCCATTAACAAATAGCAAGTAAAAATCATTCAACGTATTGCATTTAGAAGTAGCATTCTTCGTTTTGGTTACAAAAGAAAATTACCCTCTTCTGGAATCTTTCATCACGTTGATCATCTAGAAGCCTCCTGTATGCGACATCCTGGGTAAGAGAACTGTTTTCCTTGAGAATAGTGATTTAAATTTCATAAAAAAATTATTTAAAATTAGTTAGATATTATTTGATGAATAAAAAAATTTGTAAAAAAATAATTTTAAGATAAAATAGATTTTTAATAGATAAATTTATGTGTTTATAAATAGATGAAATCAGTTTATAGGGTTAGGTATAAAAAATATATATATAAAAAATTATAAGATTTCATAAAAGAGATATGCCGTAAAATTATAAGAAATTAACGTTTTATAGTATGTATGTTTGAATGGATTAAAGGAGAATAAAATGATTTACATAAATATGATAATGTGTATGTTTGAGTGAGATTTAAATTATTTACATAAATATGATGCATATGCATATGATATTTATTTATTTTTTATGAGAATATTTCATAAAATTAGAAGAAATTGAGATGATTTATAAATATTAATTGTTCAATGAAATTGATTTGATATATATTTATAATTTTTTATAATTAATTGATTTTTTTATTCGTAGATATTAATTAATTGAATTAAATTATATTAAATTATTATTTTTACGTAATTAATTAATTATTTAATTTTATTTTCATTGGCGTTATTGAATTGAAACTTTTTGCTTCACAGTATTATCATCTGTTGTATAACACATTTTCACTGCAACGACAATGTAATAGAAGATTATAGAGCTATACCATATACGGTTATCTTTCCCAACTTTTTGTTTCTCATCTAGTTTTGTCTTATTCGGACAATTTTTGCTGAAAAGTCAGCATCCATCATAAGGTTTGACTCAGAAGCAATATGCTTGTATATAGTTCTGGGATTTTTGAAAGTGAACGATCACCAAGTTAGGCAAACGTCTGATCGAATCAGAAAAAAAGACAGTGGCTTTGGATCAATCTCTTATTGCTAAGAAATCTTGCTAATAACAAGCCAAAACATAAAGAAGACTTCAATTTGATAGGATAGTCCAACGAGCAGAAAGAACTTTAAGGGATTTAGTTGAAAAAGGAGTAAAGTCAACTAAATCCAACACTCGACACCCCGAGGCCCAAAGATTAAATACCTGGTTACCTGCCAGTGGAATTTACAGTGTACTTTTCCCCTGCTAACCAATCTTTTATCCATCTAGTAAACAAACAACGCTCCTTGGCTACTCAACTGCTACTATCATCAATATTCATTCCCAGTTTGTCAATACAATCATGGAAGATAGCACCAGTCCAACAATATAATTAAATCCATGAAAAAAGGAATGGATCAATATTTCAGTCTCGAATATGAGAAGGGTTGCAGTATAATCCATGAACAATCAGAATGACAGCAATTATGGTAGTGTTCTAAAATATTTCACAATTGCAGGAAAAATTCCCCGTCAACCTACTCAATCAGACGCAAAGAACTAAAAATGCTCAAAATCAATGTTGAAAGGAGCTGCTGATTTGACATTGCAGGGATACATCATAATGTTACATAATCATCTATGCGCTAGTCAGTACATGAAAACAATCTACAATCTATAAACGGAACAATTAACAACTATAACGATACATGAAAATTTCACCCCCCCCCACCCCCCAACATAGCAGAGTTTCAGGCTCAGCCTTATCCTTCCGTCTCCATTCATCAAAATCCTCCGTCTCCACCTCGAAAACTCCCGCATTATGGTCAGGTTCTGTGTAATCCAAAGCTACAAAAACCATATTGCATTACCAACCAAACCTCACAGCGGATTCTTCCTCGGCCTCCCCCTCTTCCTTGGGGCCAAACTGGACGCATTCCCACGCGAAACCCCCACCACATTATTCCTACTTTCCACCACCTTCTTTGTGGCCGACGTATGAGCAGCTGAAGGTGGTGTGGTA